TACTGACGTTTTGATAGATTTTTAATCATGTTAAATGCAGAATCATCAATAATCTTTAGACTTGTCTTTTACGCACAATCATTACACATGCATTAGAAGTTCAATAACAGCATAGTTATTTACAGGAAATACATCTGATTTCCTGTAAAGTTACAAAATGAACTTAGGAAATGAGAATTTAATAACTATTGATGATCCATAGCATTTTAATAACAATAAATTTAAGATTTTAAAGTACTGTACCAATACCAAGATATCTGTTTAGGGGAAAATTTTTTTGAGGTTTTATATATTTTTTAACTGTAGATGATGCTTTTATGATCTTATAATTCATTGTAAAATTATACTAGAGAGTACATTTCAGTTTTAATTTTACATAAAACTTCAATGAAAAGCAGTAATAGTAATAATATACTAAATCCTTGATTTTATGGATCTAAATTCAGTAGGTTAAATTTTACAAACAAAATCCTTTAATTTCTAAATGAGTATTTCTTCATTTTTTTTTGTAATTAAAATTATATATTTTTATTTATTGCCTGGTTATACAGTGGTAGTTCAACTTCTGAAAGACATACATTCCATACAATTCCATAGCCATTACTGAAATTTTGGGCAGAAGTTGAACTGCCTTTGTGTAATTATTCTTATTTTTTTAATGAGTATGTATCATTAATCTGGCCTGTATGTCAGGAACTACCGACCAGAACAGCATTAAACTCAACATATAAACAGAAAATTGTATTCTTTATGCAACAAAACGATTGAAAGGCAAAACTAACCAGAAAAAATAGTCATAAATCCTTTTGCACAGGATAATTTAATATGGCATGTGGTTGTCTCCTGCATGTATATATGCAGCACAGCAATTTCTCACACTGGATGTAACTTTCATCAGCTCTGTCAGAAGTAAGGTTCACCCTTAATTAATTAAACAGGAACATCTTGAAGTGCCTGGAATGTTCATGGGGGAGGCTGACAGAATGCAACTCATTTCCCTCACATTCTTTGAGGTTAGATAAAGATCTTGCTGACCATTCTATGTGACAAATATTTTCACTGTGAAGAAAGTCATGGACAAGTACACCATCATGTGTGAGCATTATTGTTTGTGAAAATTAAATCTGCACTTTCTGCACTTGTGAAGTCTTGCTCGGAGTTCCAAAACCTGGTCTCCATACCTTCTCACAGTAATGGAAACCTATTGCAAAAATGTGGAGATCAACGACCATTAAGCACCTAAATTTTCATCAATATACAATTAAAAACATCAATGCATTGTATGTCATTGATTAATAGTTCTAAATACAATTCTTTCCAGTTGATTGCAACTTCAACAACATATAAGATGCAAGACAATCTCTCATAGGCTAATGAATTATATGCCATAAAATATAGAAATTATTTTTATACATACTCAAAAAATTGCTTCTCTGGGCTGTGACTTAAGCACATGCAATTTGTCTTCCAAACTGAAAAAGTTGGACTCCTGGTTTTAGTAGTTAACATATTGAATTCTGTTCTAATTGTATATTGTAAGTGTTGTTATTTAAGTATTTGGAATACCTAGATGATTATAGTGTTGGTAGTACAGTGTAATCAAATTGAACTTTTATCAAAAGTTAAATGTAAAAGTCTTAGTAAAATGTAGAAAATGTATTAAAGTATCTGCATATCAATAATTTTTAATAAGGGCATATTATAAATTAAGTATTCATCCAATAAATTCTAACTTTGGTTTTAAATGTCTTTTCAATATTTTAGATGTTTGCTTTTAAGTATTTTTTTAAAACTCCATTTTATAACGAAAAACCATGATAGAATCCAATTGTAACTGTAAATTTCATTTTACTAACTGTTTAGGATGTTGAATATTTGGAATTCTTACTCCAAACTGACCACACTTTGTTGGAAAGGTTTCTATATGCACTCCAAACTGGTTCTATGGTATACAACTTGCTAATGTCCCATTAAGGAATAAAGTGCTCAAATTGGAATTGTTAATATGTCTGGACTTGGGATTGGTGGGCAAGATATCTCCACAAACTAAATGTAGATTCATCTGAGATTTTTTATATATTTGAAACTATTTTGTATTACAAAAGAATAACATCTCCAAATTATCTTTGATGGATGCATTGAATTACATTGACACTTTTTATCTTTGCTGCCAACATATTTGGTTGTGCAAGTCTGTTTCCTCCATTTCCATGTATTTCTAAATTTGTTGACGAAAATATTGCTGGTGAAGCATGCACAACACACAGAGTGGCAATTTAAGATTGGATTCAAAATGACACTTTGATGTCAACACTTATTGTATATCTTGTAACATTAAAAAAATAGTTACTTGTTTAAAAATTAGCATTTTTATTCTGAACATAATGCTTTTGCATCAACTGTCCAGTCCGTAGTTGCCGCCACATTGCTTTCCAGTCTGCACTGGCTTTCCAAGTTGGCAAGTTTTTGATGAGGCACTGATGAGACTCTTACTCCAAAAAAGATGTTCCAAAATGCACTTTGAAAAGTTTAGGAACTGCATCTATGTATTGGTGAATTCTCAGAAAGAATTTAGGAATATAGCCCTTCTTTCTGTAATTTCAACATACTGCCAGATTTCTCATATTATTTTATTTTTTACAAGGACATCTCTAGGTCTCTTGTAGTGAGTTTCAAATTGACCTTTGAGTATTCTTTCATTGCTCATACTATTCCAATATTTTATTCAGTCATTCTGTTTCTTTTTATTTTTCCCAGTATACTCGATAAAAATTTCATTCCCGTATTGTATTGTGCTTCTCTCCATGATGTCAAGATTTGGTGAAGTTTCGAAGAGGAATACAGATCGACAAACATCTTAAATTTAATTCAAACTAAAGATGGTGCCAGACAAACTGCATCCCAAATTTGCTGTGCTTTTCCACCATCAATTGCAAACATGAATTTTATCAAGAAATTTTAGTAAGCTTTGCTGCAATTTGATACTAATACTCAATTATATATACATACAATTTCTATAGCTAAAATTATCATACAAAAAATAGAAATATGTGAATAGTGTTTCTGCTTTATGATTGGGAGAGTAGCATTTTATGTTTAAATACAACTTCTTCAAGTGATGGTAGTCCCTGCCAATTTGCAACTATTGGTGGGGTGGAAAATCTTACATCCTGGTGTCAGCTGTGCATACTGAGCAGATCCCGAAACATCATTCCTTTCCATGTAAAAGAATTGAAATTTGGTGCATGCGGACAGTATGCATTCCATCCCAATATTTAACCTCATGACTCACCACTTTATGAAATATCTAGTTTTGAACATGATTTGTTTTATAACCATCATAAAGTTACGGCTTTTAAAATTAATTTTTTTCGGAAAGGATACTAACAGCCCTTTTCCACACACACTTCACTGAAGAATAACCCAACAATGCCAAGAGCATGGTCTAAACATTAGTAGTGTCTAATATAACTTAGTGGGTGCAAAATAGTAGTATGCTGGTAAAGGTAAATTTCGAGTTGCACCACAAAATTATCCCTGTTTCTAAGCTGATACAAAGCCAGAACTGGCAGCAAGGCAACACCTTTTCACTACATATCCACAAAGTCTCCCATTGTCAGTCCAGCCATTTGTGGCTTCAGAGTGCTAAAAACGGAAATAGGAAAATGCCACACCAGAGAGCCTATGGAAAGTCTGATTGGATTAAACTTCTCTCCTTGTTCCTTCAAGCCAGTGGAAAGCAAGATGCTTTGCTATAGTAAGAGAGCAGGATGTCCTTTAGACTATGTATTCAGTGATAAGCTCAGCAGATGGCACAGCTAAGGAATTTATTAACACTTCTGATTTCTAACTGCCTGTCATTGCACATAGAATATTTCTAGATGTTTTGAGATAATGAGTGCAAATCTAAATCCTAAACATTAACATTTAACAGTGTGAAATTAACACAATATACTATGCAACATAGGTCAACCATCTAACAATCCCAATGGTGTAGACTGGATACCATCGTTGCTTCCTCACAAATCTCAAGAAAATATAAAATAGAATACTACAATTGCTGTAAAAGACAAAATCCAGATAACTTAAAAAAACAAACAAAAGAGAGTTAAACCATCTAATCATTCTACAGAGGAAAGTAGCACCGAGTAACCGGCATATCACTTGCAAACTAATGCAGCTGAAATGTCACTATATCAGAGGTTCCAAAATTATTTTTATTATGGACCCCTTTTCAAATGTTAGAACCCACAGATATTAAAGCATACTAGGTAGCCACTTTACATTAAAACTGAAAATAAAATTAATTTTGGTTTTTATTTTAAATCAAATCAATTGAAAATTAAAACGTTTTTAAAAACCATTTAACAACTTTTATTTGTATGCAGTGGTGAAAGAACATTTTGCTTTATATATATTATATATGGATATTTTTAAGATTAAAAAAATCATAATGATTTTCTAGCTTTAGTTTGTGTTATACTGTTTTTATGGTTTCCATTACCTCATCAAACCTTATATCACAATTTCAGTTCATTCCATTACTGATAAATTGGTTCCCACTGTTTATAAAGTGATAAATAACTAGCACAGGTATAGTTTCAGATGGAGTCCTTTTATCATCGTATGATGACTCAATCCAAGACTACAATAATTACAATAATTACACTTTGCATCTCAAATTTGCACTGGTAATGTACAAATCTAGTGATGTACAAATGTGACGTATCCCAATTTGGGGTTCCACAAATGTTTGAAAATATTAGATGCATTATTGACTAAATTTAAATCCTTCCAAACTTTATGCTTAAATGTTTCTTTTATGTTGGTAGGTATATGTAGTTTATGTAAGATAAATCCAAATGTCTGGAAATAAAAATTGGACCACGCCAAACTGTTTAAAAATGTTATATCTGATGTATTCGTCTAATGGCTCTGGAAATTCCAAATCGTATATTTCTTGATACCTTAAATTTACTTTCAATATCTAACGAATTATTAAAATTTCCAGGCATTGTTCACTTTGTCATTTAATTACAACTAACTGGAAGTTCAAGTTAGTCTTTCATTTATCCAAAAATATAGAGTGCAACTGTTGGTGGTATTGTAATTTGTTCAATGCAGAAAGGAAAAGGAATAGATATCATTATCAACACCTAAAAGAGCCTGTATAGGACAAAATATACTAGAAAACATTTTTTTATTGTGGTAAAACTTTTAACATTACATTAAAGGTTATTCAATAAATAGACACAAGATTACTAAATCCAAAAAATAGTGTTATTTACAAGCATTTGTTTTGAGATGAAAAAATTTAATATTTACACATTTAGAAGTGTTTGTTCTTAAGAACAAAGCCAGTTTAAACTAATTGCTTGTTTACATTGTTGTCGGGCTCGAAATTTGATGTTTTGATTTCTAAAACTTAAATGTGCTTTTTGTAAAAATGAATATCAATTTTAAAAAATCCTTACTTTGTCCCCAAATCATGAGATGTGTTTTTAAATAAATTCTAAGAATGCCCTTCCTGATGGGAAAGAGAGTCCATACTTTCATTCTGTGAAGATGTCTGCACCTGTACAATGACTGGCTGAGAGCTGGCGGTTGCCAGTGAAGCAGAAGATTTGGTGGCCGGCGTTCCATGAGACACCGTGCCTATTCCCTGGACAATGCTCACTGCAGTCGGCGTTCCCACCTGCTGTGTCTGTCCCAGTCCAGCATTCACCGTCGCCACGGCACCTCCCGGCCTTATGGTAATTCCCGCCGGAGGAGTGATGATTCTGGCCAGGAGTGGTTGAGTCCTCGTTCCTTTTGTCGTACTCATGGCCTGAGACATGGGAATAACTTTTATGCCGGGAAGGGCTTTGACATTCAGCGGAGTGACTCCCCTGACTCCCTGCTGAGTTGCTGCGGCCATCACAACAGTAGGATTGGATCCGGGTGCGGCCATCACATACGTCTGATTCGACGGCTTTAAGGTACCTTGAGTTGCTGAAAATGAGAAATAATTTAATCTTCTGTGGAAGTATGGGCAAAAATAAAATTTTTAACAAAACATTAATTTTACCAATAACAACAGTTGGTGAAGAGGTTGGACTTCCACTTGCCAAAATTACACTTGGTAAACCACTGCTTGTTGGCATTGTGACCGCTGTTGCAGATGGAGACGATTTTGACGTGATGATGTTCTGGGACGATTTTCCACATACGCTTACAGAAGGAGCTACAGTTTTGATCCCAGTCTGATTAGATACTACGTTTGTTTTGGTTGAGGCCGAAATAACTGCTTCATGTGAGGCTGCCGCATCAATTTGGGCTGCTTGTAGCATTCCCAATTGTCCTTGAGTTAATGTGATTAACTTTGGTTGAGCTGTTATTGTAGGAGTTGCTGTTACTGTATTGCTACTGGACTGTGTGACGACGGCCAATCTAGGTAATCTGAAAATAAACACGTTAGATTATTTTATGTCTATCCAACACTATTTTATTTATTTTATATACACACTTAGCAGCTGCAGCAAGTTGAGATGCTTGCAGAACACCTAAGGTTCCTGTAGCTCCAACTGGTTGAACAAAATTTCCACTCTGGATTCTAAAAGTAGCCGTACCAGAAGATTGTGATCCTTGTTTTGCAACTGCTTGAGCTGTCGTTCTAGCCACTAGATTGCTAAGCGAGACGACTTGTGTGCCCGCCACGACGCGTGCCATTACAGGTTTTGATCCCATGGCTGAAGATTTTGCCGCAGATGCCGAGGCTAGTATGGGGAGTGCGGCGATTGATGTGCCAGGTTTTCCACTGGGATCCTGTTTAATGACGATCGTCTGAAATCCCTGCACCTGGTTAGAAGAAGAACAGGCTGTCCGTTTCGATGCTATGTTTGACACTGCTTTGGCCAAAGCAGGGGACATCGTGGTGGCGAGTGACGGATTGATCACTCCCGCCGCCTGACTAAGGACAGGCTGGAGAACTGGTGGCTGTCCGACAAATGCCGGAGAAGAAGGCTTCATGTCAATTCCTATCGATCCTGGTGGAGGCGTGGGCGAGTTAGAGGGCGATGGAATAGACTGTTCTGCTCCGCCACTCTGCAGTTGGGTCACCCCTACAAACTGAGCAGCATTAACGTTAGCAATCACCGTTTTTGGGCTGGGAAGAGAACACTGAGAAGGTGGTCTAGAATTATTTCCTCCATTTGGAGGTTGAGACAAGATTGGTATTGCAGACAGTTTGGGGCTGGGAATCGTGGGAGCGGTAAGTACGGACGAAATATCTTGACGGCGGGGACTCGACAGTACAGCGGACATTTCGGACGTGTTCGGCAATGCCGAAATGGCAGAAGAAACTTTCTGTAATGCCTGGGCGGGTAGTGACAGACTTCTCATTAACTGACGAGACGTTGTTCCGTGCGTCTGCTTTGGACTATTCTGAAATTAAAAATAATGCAATGACATTTTAAATTTCATAAAACTTATAATTATTTGTTTAAATTTAATCCCAATTCCTTTGGCAGTTGCAAGAAACATCATTTATAGATTTGACATAGTTGAAATTTAAAGTAAACAGTTCCAATTTTAGAATTTAGAACAATTACTCATAAGGCAGTAACCAGAGATCATCATCGAGACATGTCAACAGATTTTGATTTTGATTTTGTGCCTGTGCCAAGGCCAAATCAAGAATGTGGCAATGTGATTGGAAAGATGAAAAACGGAGTAATTTCTTACTGTATTTATATTTTAACATGTGTTGGACATTACTATTGATATTTGATGAAAATTGCATACAAATTCCATAGTATCGAGAATCAGATTTATCTCAACAAACAGTAATGAATCAGAACAATTATAAAGTTGCTATTCCTGATTTGTATTATAACAATTTGTAAAAAGTTTGTCTGACTTCAACACAAGGAAAACTTCAAAATTTGGAAATTAAAAGAATGGCTCCTTAAATGTTTTCAAGAAGATTTGACTTCATTTTTGGCAATCTACAAAAACATTTGAAGTGAATGACTGGTTTTCAAATGTTTACAAAATCCGATTTCCATAACTGTTTTATGTTAACTGAACACTTTACATTTTTAGTCATAAAAATGGAAGGTGGCCCTCGGATGGAAAATGAATGGAGAAAAGGGAACAAATTTAATATTTCTTGGTTATTTAAATAATAAAAATATTTGTCATCATATTTAAAATGAAAAACTGATTTTACAAACTTTTTTTATCTTTATAGAGATTTCTGAAAATGAGAAGTCAATCAAGTGTTTTGGAAACGAACCTGAAAATTAAAAATTTGTTTTGTTTTACTTGTGTTGGCTTTAGTTATGTCCTAAATTATCAAACAAGTATGCAAAATAATTGTCCATACAAAGATTTTAATACAAGCAAATATGTGAAGCCAAAGTATGTCAATGAAAATTGGTTGTTGGTGTGTATCAATGTGAAAAAAATTATGACAAATTGAACACTCAACAGTGTATGACGTAAAAAACAAACAAAAAAAAAAAGACATGAGATTGTTGCCAATTTGTCAAGAGGAGGACAGAAAAGAAAAACAACGGAAGCAGACAAATGCATCATCATTCAAATCATTAAAAAACATGGAGGCAATTTGACTGACAGAAACACAACAGAAGTGAAAGGTAAGTTAAACATTGATGTGACACCCCAAAACAATCAAAATCAAATTCTCTACTCTGATCAAGAGACTGAAGCCATACTTCCGAAAGCAGCACATGAAAGATATAGACAGACATCAATTCCAGAGACCATGCATATATTTGATATTGCATCATAATCTTTTACCATGTGAACCTATCATAATACAATATAGCCATTTGGGTACATTGCATTTCAAACAAACATTTAATATGGATGTGCAAATGTAGTCGGTCCTGTTCAAATAAGTCGGACATCGTATTGAGGAAGTATTGCAATTATTCTGTGTAATTAAATTTTTTATATTACATAATGCTTCTAGCCCACAACTTTAATTTACAATGATTTATTTAGCTTAATTTTTTAATCTTATTATAAATAAGATTAAAAAATTAGGCTAAATAAATCATTGTAAATTGAAATTAGAATGATGATCCAAAACTAAACAGTTCTAGAGAAAATCAGTTTCATTTTTTTTTTTTGGCATTAATTATGTGAATATGCTTGACACATTATCAAGTGTGTAGTGTGGCCAATTGTTTGAACTCAATTTTTTTAACATGATGAACTGGTAATAATTAAGGACTATTATCACATGTAATCAGTTTATAAACCTGACGAATTTATGTACAAAATTAAATTGAGTGAAAATCATTACCATTATCAGTTTTTAAATTTAATAAGCTACACTTTTATATGATTTGCTTTTTTGGTGACCAAAACTTAAGACCTTGAAATAACTATATCATCTTACTTGTGTCCTAGGGCTTCCACTTCCTCTGGGACTCTGTGATGAAGTGTTAACAGTTATATTACTACTGGCAGGAACATCTACAGTCAGACTATTGACTGCTTCGGTAATAGTTAACGATCGGGCAGCATCTTTATTTGTTTTCTGAAAATAATAGTATAAAACTTTATTGTCTTTTATTTATAAATAAATAAATAATGAATAAATAAACATATTACAAAAACTCACTACTCTTGGTGTTTTGTTTTTTTGTATGGCTTTTTTGGCTTTTGCTGCAGCTGCTTGAGCTTGATGTATTCGTTCTAGATAATTTTATCCGAAAATTTATTATTCATTTTAATTTAAATTTATGTAACTATTTTTATAGTGTTAACTTTACCAAATTCTTCTTCTGTCCTACTTCTGTGAAGATATATCCATAATTTTCTATTGACGTCATATTTTACGCACGGATCTTTTTCATAATGTAGTCGGTCTAAAGCACCGCTTACGACTGTATGAATCTAATTATATATCATTAAATGTGTAATTCTTACGGATGTGGTAATTTAATCATTGATCTCTATGTGAAATTTACCTGTTGGTCACTGGCGGCAGATAAGTACTGAGAATCTTTTAATAATTCACAAATGTCTGATCTCGTACCCTCGCCGTTAGGTAGTCTTGCTGCGGCATCTCTTACTTTGGAAATACATTGAAAATTAAAGGTATTTGTAAAAAGAATTTATTGCAACATTTTCAATTTTTGTAACAAAAAGAAGCATCCGTTACCTAATGAGAGAATGGTGACAAAGGGAGGCCGGTCGGACACTAATAGAGAATGTTCTCTAGCTTTATTTACTCCGCTCTCTTTGCCGTAAACTCCCTTGACTGGTCCAACAACGGATTCATAGCCATGCACCCTGAAGGTGAAAGCTTTGTGAGGGTTCTGGTATCGCACTCGTTCCTAATTTAACAGAAAAAATAAAGGATTCTATTCAATAGATCTTTACTTTTATATTTTTGAGAAATTTGATATATACGAAACAGCACCTGTTCTCGATATAACTGTCTCTCTTCTTCAGAAGTGGGACGTACAGTCCAATCAGTTACACTATTCAAATTTTTCAAAATCATTTATATGAATAAAAATTATGTACATTAATAACTAATTAATTTATTATTAAAATTAGTTTAGAAAGATTCTGTTAATAATATCTAAATCTCAATTTCACATAATGAAATAAAATTCAATAATCCAAAGGTTAATGTTATTAATAAAATGTATAATAAACTAAATATTAAATAATGTTATCAAAAAACTAGGTTATCAAATAAAATGTAATTCACAAGAAGTAACGTGAGGAGTTTGGTAATGCTGCAACTCAACACTGGGTTGGCCGATGCTTGTTGCACCAGCAGCTCATTGCTTTGTAAAGTATGACTCTTAGCATTGGTGAACTCCTTGTGCTACTTCTTGAGGGTTCTACTTTAGTATATAGGATGATCAACTGAAAGTGATCTAAAAGTATCTGGAATGGTTAATTTAAACCACACATGTGCAAGAGAGCAGTGTAGTCATTTTTCTTATCATTCAGTATGACTTTCGTCGACATCTAGCAGCAATCCATATGTCATCACCTGTTTTCATTTGCATATAAATCCGTTTTTATTCTGGCAATTTTTCAAATGTTGAGTGTAATTGAGCAAAGAACATGCATTAAATTTTGTTTTTGAAAACAGAGAATGTGTCAAAGATGAACTATGCTCTGATAGACCATCCACTTTGACTTGAGCAAAGTGTTGTTCATCTGTCAGAGATTTGATGCTTGACAATTGTTAAGAATTAGGGACATTATTGAACACATTCCAGTATTGTTTGGATCTTGTCAAGCAATTTTAAAAGATTATTTGGGCTTGCAGCACATTTAACATTTTCGGGCCAACTCGAGAAGAAATTTTTTCTAAAAATGTGTTTAATTGGCCAAAAAAATGCTTTCTCAAGGTTAAATTATTCTTAAAACACATCATTATGGGTGGGGAAACATAGATCTACATTTCTGACACTTAAACAGCTTGAAAGATGAAGCAAGACTGAAGAGCCACGTCAGTCAAAACTTGAGATTGTGTTGACCATTTTTTTTTATTGTCGTGGTGTTTTGCATCACAAATTCCTTCCGACTGACAAACTGTCAACAAAGAATATCACTTGAGCATTTTTCATCATTTGCCTGAAGAAATTTGTAGAAAACAACCCAATTTGTGGCTAGAAAACTCATAGATTTTGCACTACAATAATGCACTCGTCTTCTGTGAAATTTTGGCAAAAAATTCAACAAATATGGTTCCATTAGTTCTGTATTCACCCAATACGGTACCATGTGACATTTTCCTGTTTCCTCAACTAAAATTTCCACTTCATGGTCACAGTTTTGAGCCAATCAATGCCATAAAACAAAATTTGCTGAGAGTCCCAAAGGGTTTCACAAAAACAACTTTAAATAATTATGTTTTGAGGATTGGATAAAACATTGGCAGTGCATTGCACTGGGAGAGGATTACTTTCACAAGAGCAAAATAAATTTTGATGAATAAATTTAAATCTTATGTTTTATTAAACCATTTCCCGATACTTTTTGATCATGGGTATATTGCAATAACACCAATAGACAATATATGTGTACACAATACACTAGTAGGCTATTAGAGGTTTACATTCCTAGAACAAATGGTTGTTATTTTGGCATTATTATTTATTATTGTTTACTATGACTATATTTTAAAATAATAAAAGTAGAATGCTNTTGTTTTCTTATAAACTTTAACACAATTTTACGTTAATAAAATTGTGTTAAATTTTCAATTAAATTATTGAATTTATTGAATATAAATTTGAAAGTTTTCGGTATAAAATACAATAAAATAACTTATCATATTTTTGTACAATAACTGAAATGTTTGTAAAACCATTGTTATTGGTGTATTACGTATACAGGGTGTCCCAAAACTCTGTTAACTTTTACTAGACTATATTTTAAAATAATAAAAGTAGAATGCTTTTGTGACCATAAAATGATTAACAATGGGGCCAAAATCCATTTTAGTTAAGAATTTTGCATTTAACATGCAGGCAAATGCCTTGTCATCTTACCCTTATTACTGCATAAAAGTACACAATATGTATATTATAATCATTTCTACATAGATCAGTTATATAAAAATAATTTAAAAGCAGCATACATCTCAAAACTGTTATAGATTAGTTTTTACTATTCAAACACTAACATTTTGCAGTATGTGACCATGTTATGGATAGCAGAAATATAATTTTGATACTAATAAAACACTGGTAAATCCCAAAATTTCTTTTAAGTTGTTTTGATATTTTGGAAACAAGTAAATTTGTAATACATAAATTATTACTTATAATGATGGTTAATTACTCCTTCTAGTGATTTTAATCAACATGCCAATCTGCTAAAGTAATGTGTGATTTCCTTAGCACAATATACCGTTTGGCATAAAAAATTTTATAAATCAATTATTATTATTCTGAAAAATCTAAGGCTAATAATATGATTTTACTTAAAATAATTTCTATTGTCATTTTTTCACACTTATGGGTTGTTTTTATGATTGTTCTATTTTTTAAAGATACACCTTTTGATCAGAAACAGAAACATTATCACTGTACAAGCTGTATGGTTTAGGCACTATATTTTAACAAACAAATTTCGATGTACGATTAACCAAAATTACCTGTATAAATATAATCTTAATCAACAATTACCAGCCGGTATGACCTCTACCTCAGCAAGTAAAATGCATTAATAAAGTAGCAAACTTTTTATTTTAAAAGCATATAATTGTACTGTTTATTCTGATGATAAATTTGTTTTTTTTTTTATTTGACATGTGTGAAGATTATGAAAATTATAATTTTGCTTACACTCTTGGTGGTGGTGGGGATCCCTGCGATGACTCCAGCACATCGAGAGACAGATCGTCCTTGTTTTCAAGCCAGTGCTGACAGAGCAGGTTCAACTGTTCTCCCGAATCGCGACCAGCTCCTATCCACTGCCACTGTTGCTGTTTTTCTTTGTAGTCGAGATAAGGAACGAAGTTTTCTGGGAGTATTCCTGTTATGATCAACATTATATTTAATTTTAAATATCTTTTCTTTTTATTTTAATTCAATCAATAAAAAATTTTAATGAAAAAATGGGATAATTTGCAGTCATAAAAAAAAATGTGCATACTTTGGCTATTACTGAGTTAAGTTGCCAATTTGCTTTTCACTTTAATATAAATGAACAAGATTGACTGACATGAGTAAAGAAATAATATTTGAAATAATGTATTATAAGCAATTTTTAAAGTGCCGATTTAAAAAATATTTTTCTTTGCTTATATTTTATTTTGCATTGTTTATCATTAAAAATTAAAAAGTAAACAGAATATAGTAAAATCTCATTTTAATGGATTGCTCCAGCTGCCGAAAATCATCCATTGTTCTGAGAATCTATTATATCACTAACAATGGATTTCTTGCCCACCCAGGAAAATATCCATTATTTGAGCTGTTGATTTTGAAAGTAGGGCAATTTGATTTTGTGAAAAAAATAGTTAAAGCTAATTTTTATTACAAATTAACATAAAATTTATTTTTTTAATCAATTCACAATAAATATCTTATAATGTCAGTATAAATTTGTTACTAGGAATTTGTACCATCAACGATATTTATTGTGTGTTGATTTTGAAAGTGAGGCAAGTCTACTCTAAAGAAAAATATAAAGATATAATGGATTTATTACCCTATGTACTACTGGTTCATCATAAATAGTTTAAAAATTTGCACCATCTAAACTAAGAAATATAATTATATATGTGCAACTTATTACTGAATATTTTCTCTTATTTTATTTACTTTTTCCTATAAAATTAAATTTATTTTCTGTTTTATTGTAGCTTTTCAAAAAAAGAACAAAATTTTGAAATACAATAAATAAGTAAATAAATAAAATATTCAATTTTTTGTTATTATAGTACATCTCATTCAAAGAAAATCAACGTTTTCAACAAATCATTGCTTTTGAAAGTGAGGAAAGTCCATTGACGCATACCAAAACCATGATTTTTTTCACCTAACATGGATAACCATTATTGCATAATAAATTTACATGAAATAAGACCAAACAAATATAAAATAAGTTTATTATTATTATGAATATTTTTAAACCCATTCAAATGCAAACCTTTAAATATCTAGCATTAACATAAAATGGATTTGCCCCACTTTCAAAATCAATGGCTCATTTAACCCTCTACATATAAGAAAAACCTGTATTTGAAATTATTCAGTCTTTTGAGATCTCTATTCTATAGAAACACATGTTACAAGAATTACACACACACAGTATAACGTACTAACAGACATCAGAAACTGTATATAATGTAAGCACAAAAAGAGACAAATTACATATGCTCATTAACACTTCACTTGACTTTGACAAATCAAGCTTGGTTTGTTTGATGCCGCTTTTCTGCCTATCTAATACAACAACCACTTGATATTAGCAGTGCCACGTACAACCCGTTTGTTAATGCTAAAACTCATCAGAAAGGTCTTTGTGACTTGGAAAGACCCAACAGTCTCACTAAATTTTGGCACTATAGTTGAATCAGTGTCAGAATGTTCATTAGGTGGGTTCTTCTCAATCATATTGGCTTATTGACTTTCTTCGTACAATTCTTCAATTTTACATATCCCAGATGTAAGAAGTATATCATTGAACTCTACAAATTCCCAAATATTAACCTAATGCTGAAAAAATTTACAATAGATGGGGCTAGAAAAATTCTGTTATTCTAAATTACAAATCTGCTAAAAATAGGTAAAATTACATTGAGTAAATATTTAATGTAATTTTAAATAATACATCAAGGTTCCAAAAAAATCAATGTAATTTTAAAAATATTTTATATATATTAAAAGTACATTGATTTGATGTGACCTTGAAAAAAAATCTGTTGTTCTGTGATCCATTAAAACAAGATTCTACTAAATAAGTTAATTTATTTTATAAATTGCAAATTATAAATATTCCATTTATGTTTTTAAAAATTAATAATTTTTATAATGACTAATAAAAAATAACTAAACCATAAAAATATTCTTTTGATTTATGTTAAATCATCTTGCAATAANTTTGCTGACCCCTAGGCCTAAATTGCATTAGGTGTGCTCAGCTGCATCAGAGAGCATGGACATTATCACTTGAATACCTCTGTACATCAAAAACACATGGACTCCTATTTTTTACATTTAAATAAATCCTCATTACATTTTTGGATTCCTCATTGTAATTAATGGAAAATGGCAAAGTCAATTCTATAAGCTCATAGAAAGAATGCTAGCAACCATGGAACATCGTACAACAAAATCACGTGATTTGTGCACTATTACTTTGTTGCACACACTCATGCTATGATCTTATTTCTCAAAAGCAAAGTCACGGACCCCCATTTTTTATTATATTTTTTGGATTTCTTGTCACAATTAATAAAAAACAGCAAAGTGTAATCAAAATTGATCAGATTTTGAGAATGAACGCAATTCTGTTAGCCACATAGAAGAGGCTTCACTAATGCTCCGCCTCAAAAATATAAATTAAAAAAAAAAAAAAAAAACACTTCAAATTAATAACTAAGCCTTGGATTTTTATGCATTTGTATATTTTATGTGATTTATGTATTTTATACTTTTCCAAATATTTTTAATGCAAAGAAATTGACAACCGAAGCAGTTAACATGTTGAGTGTTGAGGAATAAAAGATTACAAGAACCTGGACTGAACCTTTTCTTTGGTTTTAAATCCTGAGTAATGTATTTCTTTCTCATTATTTTAGTGTCATTTATTTTGGTGAAAAAAGTGAATTTCCAAAAATTCACTTGTTTCACCAAAATATAAGGCCTCATAGACAATTTTTGCTTACTTGAACCACATGTCCACCATTGGACATTGAACATTGGCAATATAGTAGAGAGATATATTCTTTGCAATGATCTAATGCAAAACTTAACACCAGGTGTTACATGCTATGGGACTAATATTATACTACTGATAAGTGAAATACAGGTATCGCTTGCTTAACACTGTTTTGCTTAATGCGGAATTTGATTAACGCACAAAATTAATTGTGGCAATCCCTTCATGTACATAGAAGTTTTAATTAATCCAGCTTTAACAGCTGTCTTTACTTAACATATATATGGCAAAAGGTGTTGGTGAATTTGCTATTTTGGGTGATTTCTGATATAGATATGTCAGTGATTATATTACATAATTACAGGTAGGCCTCCTACAACGCGATACCTTTACAATGCGTTTTCGGTCCAACGCAGTTGGAAAAATGCGGAAATTTTCTTACAACGCAGTTTATGGTAATTAGAAATGAATTATCTTCGCATTACAGAAAAATCACAACGGATCATGTGATACGAGCCGCAGTTCGGTATACAGAGCTAAAAGTCTTTGAAAAACAGCTGTTTGTCGACGTTGGCGTGTTTTTCCCTTGAAAGTTTCAGGGGAAGACCGGTTTCTAGACAGATGTGCATCAGTTACTGTAAACACTCAAATATATCACTAAATTTTCGATCATTTATACTCTTTCAATAAGTGGGGATTGCAAAAGTGGTCCAAAATACAGTATAAACTTCTATTGGGTGTATATTTTTAACAACATAGTGAAAGGAAGTTATTTTCTGCGATTTTTACTGTCCACAAAACTGACTGAAAAAATTTTAGCCATAACAATGCCGAATGAAAAGAAAGGACCGTCATTAAAAAGGAAATTTATAACTCTTCAAACAAAGATAGAAATTTTGGATTGAATTAAAAATCAAGAGCGAATAGCTAATATTGGTAGGCATTTTAATTTAAATGAGTCGACTATTCGGTCGATTAAGCAATCGGGAGAAAAGATCAGAAATTTGGTCGCATCTGGACCATCTATTCTTGCGAAAAATGTTGCTCGTCTGAGAGCACCTATAATGAAAAAAATGGAACAAGCGCTAATATTATGGGTAGAAGATATGAACAAGAAACAGGCGCCTTTAAATAAAACTGCACTTAAACACAAATCCTTAAAAATATTTGATTATTTAAAACAAATGGGACAGTCTAAGCTGATGAAACCAGTGTTAAATTCGTGGCTAGCAATGGCTGCAGAGCCGGCCCTACCATAGGGCGAACGGAGCAGCCACTCCAGGCGCTAAGTCCTATCAAGCGCCTCAGTGGTAAAGAAAATTAAAGGGTATAAATTAGGGGCAACCAAGGGGGGCGCCATAATAGGATCTCGCTCCATCCTAAAACTTGCCTCAGGCCGGCATTGAATGGCTGGTTTGAAAATTCAAAAAACGCCATTCAAACGCCAAGTTTTTCTCTTTTTAGAACCGAATCCCAGTTTTTGTATTAAGTTGGTGTCTCCTATAACGCGATTTCCCACAATGCGGTATTTTCAAAGAACGTATCTACCGCGTTGTAGGAGGCCTATCTGTATAAAATAATTATGATAAATTTCACAACTATCATAATTATATCTAACATATTACTGCAAATGTGATATTGTATTCTTTGTTTAGAAACTTATTTTAAAACTTTACTTCACATTTTGTTTGCATAAAATCAATCAAAATGTCTGCAGATAAAAAGTATACATAATATGACCAATATACATTTTAAGTTTCATAAAGGATATATACAGTAGAGCGTCGTTTATCTGAATCAATTGGGGACTGGGGTTGTTTGGATAACTTATTTTTCGAATAACCGATTATGTATGAAAAAATATATTAACCTATCCCATGCTAAAATTTTTCTCCGTTGTGTGTTGCTTTGCGTTGAATTTTCATCAATGTTAAGCCTAACGTAAACTTTTTAAAATAATAATCGTGGCTATTGTATCATTAAAAATTATTTCTTTATTTTGTACAAACAAAATAAATATATTGAAAAATATAAAAACAAAAAAACTTATTCTTCAGAAGTTAATCTAGTGTGAGATCTGGAATTTTATTAACTAAAATTTTAATTATTTTACTTATGTTTATATAACAGATTGAAAAAAAAAAAAAAAACAATTTTAGCCGGGAATGTGTAAACCTTCCTGTCATAACCATCAACATTCTATTGTTCTCGCATAACTTGCAGCTCAACTTGCACCAAAGTTTATAGTTAGCATCCAAATTTCGTCACTTGTTTTAGGTCCCTGGAACACCTATAACCTTTATCTTATATGACATCTGATCATGTGACCAATTTCCCCAGCAAAAAGCTACAAAAGACGTTTCCTACCCCCTCTCGGGGGAGTCTCTTAACGAAAGCTGGACCAACGACACCGAGTCGAATCTCTGAACCTGCCGAAATTCCGATCCTCTAACAACGATCCTCGTCCATTGCCAGAGCCACAAACTTTTATATTTGTGCTCATTTGGATCTAAGACACCTTTTATGAGATATTTCGGTGCCTACATGGACTTACTTGTCAAGGAAACCTACAAAGAGGTATGAAAAAGCGAGTAAACTCTCTCTCGAGCTCTTAGGCGGTTTAGCGTCAAGATTTGTGTATAGTTTTGTCAATTTTTATTATTTTAATAAATTCTTGTTTTATTTGTTAAAATGGTAGACTCCTTTACTCGTATATGGCCTTCACCTTATCGTGACCCCAGATACTCTCCCTCCACTCGACCGACATTTGAGAGTCCCAACCCTCGGGACCAGTAATAGTAAATTTAGCCATCTTGACAAGTGAGCAGGTTTTACGACCTGTTGCCCGAACAGGGAGGTGCGATTGACCCCGACCTCCCCAGCAGTTCACACTAGTATCAAAAATGTTCGATTCAGCACAACACACAGTCCTCAGAAAAGCACCACACAAAAGTGCCAGTGCTGCCAGCTAAAACACACACACTAACAAAAAACATATTGGAGTAGCCCAAGACATAGCCAAAGATTGCAGTGCCACAGCACTAGCGAAAATTTAAATTTGCCAACTGGAATTCTTTCAGATAACTGCCATTTTGGATAAACAACGCTCTATTGTAATGCTATAGAAACAGTAAAAAACACTCTTAGTGTATGGGGAAGATGTTCCTAAATGTTGGACATGTCAAATATAATTTTGAAAGTTTTATTTGGGAAATTCTGAACTAAAGGATACGAAATGTACAGGATGCCCAAAAGCTGTCAATAAAGAAAAATTTCAGGAAGAAATTGTTAAATATCAACAAATAACAACTCATGGACTTGGAACAAATCTTTGTGTTTCACCAACACAATGATTGTTCTGCATGCATTAATTCAAATAAACCAAACTGGATCGAGTATAATTTTGTCAGAAAAAAGGTAGGCAGCTCTAAGGTTTCATTTTATTTTTAAATTAGTTACACATTTTTATCACAGAAAACTTTTCTTATGGATGACAAAATTAAAATAAAAATATTTGTTATTAACTCAAAACTTGTTCCAAAGGTGAGTGTTTGGTCAAATACCAAGGTACCACCATATTTGATTAATGCAATAAAATCAAGGGATTAATTAATCAAGGGATACCGGACATATAAGTAATGTCCACTGGTAGGCACATGGCACTAAAGCCAACAATGAAAATAACCACAGGTAATCATTTGGCACTTGCTATGTTATGACATCAACCCACCGCTCTGGGAACTGGGGATCGAATCTGAACGTACCAAACCCAGGAGTTTTCATGGGCAGTCTATTCCAGATATTTCAGGTCTCATTCCTCGCAGACCCACCAATGGCCAAGCAGTTCCATTCCCTGAACACTGGGAGTTTGTTCACAAGTTTGTGTCTGGCCAGGACGGGCCAGCCACATGGAGTTTTCTAGGTTTTCTCCACATCTGTAATGCCTGAATAGGAGCCAGTTACCCTTAAAAAGACCTCCTGGAAAGCATACTCTCTAGGCAGATTGCCCAAGTGTTGCACTGCCATAACTTAACTAAACAAACAAACAAACATTCCTCACTGTGGATCCTGCAAAATCTAAGACAGCTATGGAAAGAAAAGCCTTCTTAGCACCCACAGGACAAAGAGTAAACAAAAATGCAAATAATTACGTAAATGCAGTTTATATCTATTTAATTTTAAAATAGTTTACTGTAAAGTTATTCATATAATAATAGAGGAACTAGAAATAAAATTTGGATCTATACAAATGAAAACAAAAACTAACTTTTATATACCTTCAGAATTGTTTAGGCTTTACATAAAGATAAACTAAGAAAATATATTTGTTTTCTAGCAATGTTTGAATAAAATACAATATTTCTATAGTAAAACAGAGNTTTCTTTTCCATACCATCCTGGCATTTTAACTTTTTCTTTGGAAATAAGTCTATTATAAAAGTAAACAAACTAATTAATAAACTTCATAATTATATTTGCCTAAAATATTTTGTAATTAATTAATTAATTAATTAATAGATTATGTGCTATTTAAATGTTGCATAAATTATATTTATTTTATTTTATTATTATATATTTTTAAAACATGAATCTATATGTTTGTGATTTGTAGAAAATGAAACCAAATTCATTCATATAAAGTATAAATTCTACCTCTTATTAAGGTTATCAGAATTTGGATATTGGGAAAAAATTAGATATGTACTGTACATTTATAAAAAATGGAATATAAGTTTGCAGATTTCAATATTCAAAATTTAATAAAGCTCATGAGACATTTCAATGACAGATAAATGCTAATAATTACCTTTACCAATAAAACGCTTTATACAATTTGTACGGGCAATTATGTCATCAAGCGAGATGTTGGAAGTATCCAATTCGGGATGATCCTAAAACGAAATCAGTTTAAGCATTAATCAGGAGGTTTAATAAGAATTATAGCGTAACAGAAATATGGGAAAATTATGCTAATATGAATTAATTACTAATATAATAGTACCTCATACTTCAAATGACTAACTTCAAAATATTTGAGTTCAAACAATAAATTCGACAAAAATTTTCTTTGGAGTTTGCACAATGCTTCTCAAAGTACAAATTAAATGTGCAGTGAAAAAATGCACTCAAAGCATAAAATAAGCTTCTGAACTAAGAATCCAGGAGAGACCATGAAATCAGATATTTCTGTATTGTAAAACAGGCATGCTGGTTAATTCCAGGGAATGCCAGCATGCCAGTTTAAATGAGGTTATATATCCCTCTCTAGAGGGTGCATTCAAAAAATGAACAAGTTACTTCGTGTAAAAATAAATGATTTTTTATTCTAAAACTGTGAAACTATCACTGTTAGATCAAAAACTATAATTATATGTTTAATGTTTTCATTTTGTCTTCTTTCTAACAATGTAAAATACTCATGGAATGACAAAAGTGTTTTTTTTGTTTTTTTTATTTTAATTTGATTAAAAAATGCAAAAATAAACATGCTAGTTTTGTTAGATCTGATTAATTTTATTTTTTAGTCACAGTTTAACTGGCCTACCGGTAACCCAGAGTTTCTGACAAGCTGGTATCCCCTGGTTGGTCATTCCACAAAAATACAATAAGAGAATGAATAATTTTCAAAATATCATACTTTCAACAACAATATATTGTATAAAACTTTGTACTTTAAATTATTATTAATATTATATAAATACCTTTGATGCAGACATTTTCTGTTCTGGTGTTTCATAAAACAAATTTCTAACTAGAGAGAAGAAGCAACTGGGGTAAGTAGGAGTAGCCGACCTAAAGTAAACACACACTTCATATTTATCATATGTACAAACAAAAATTATGTCATTATTCAAATATAATTCAAATAATCAAATTTTATTTTAAAAATTTTAATTCCAAACTAATTATTTTTGTTGTTGATAATACACTAATACATATAAATTACAATTAAGTACTTAAGTAAAAAGTTTGAACTATTTGAAATATTTACTCACATATAAGACGACCTCGCTTATAGAACAAGATGTGACTTTAAAGATCAAAATAAAGAAAATTAGATTTATTAATACAATTCTAATTTTATTTCATGTAATCACAAGTAAAATATCAAATGAATGTAAATGCACACATTATCCAGCAAAAATTACTGGCATTTTAAACCTTAAGGAAAAACCTTGTAAAATCGACAACATAATTTGTTCATGTAAAACTGGACAATCCGGAACCTTTTTTTGCCAATTCTTAAACAGTCAAATCCACTCTCTGTCGATTACACTTATGAGTTTCTCCGAATTCTGATTTCCAAGTAATCATCTGTTTTCATGTGGGAATGGATTAAAACATAAATTGTGCTCCTGTGTGATTTTGTAATTTCAATTTGGAATTCAATTCAATTCAAAAGCTTTGATTTTCCTATTGCTATTCATCTTTACTCCTGACAATATACAAGAATGATTCAAACGACATAGATAAAATACTTTTGTTTTAAAATACATGACGATATGCATCTGGTAAAAAATGCAAATATGCAGTTCATAAAAATTAATTGCAAAATGCAAAGAATCTTTCGCTTGTCACCTAGGAATTTGAAGCTGTGATAAATGAATAAAAACCTCATCTTATATGTGAGTAAATATGGTAATTCTTAGTCCTTATAAGCTTATAATGATTAAAACAATTTATATTTTAATCTATTAACTACAAAAAAAAAGTTTACAGTTTATCAAATACCTCGGCGGTCCAGACTGAAGCCCCTCTCCGTCACTTCCAACGTCCACGTCCACATCATCTAGAGCGGCATCTCCACTCATAAGAGTGGTAAGTCCCACGCCATGAGACGTCCCCAACATGTTTTCATCTCCAATCGATTGCAACTGAGAATGCGAAGGTGAAAGTTGCATATCACCCACTCCCACTCCCAACAATTTCTGTTTCTTTTCCATACCATCCTGGCATTTTAACTTTTTCTTTGGAAATAAGTCTATTATAAAAGTAAACAAACTAATTAATAAACTTCATAATTATATTTGCCTAAAATATTTTGTAATTAATTAATTAATTAATTAATAGATTATGTGCTATTTAAATGTTGCATAAATTATATTTATTTTATTTTATTATTATATATTTTTAAAACATGAATCTATATGTTTGTGATTTGTAGAAAATGAAACCAAATTCATTCATATAAAGTATAAATTCTACCTCTTATTAAGGTTATCAGAATTTGGATATTGGGAAAAAATTAGATATGTACTGTACATTTATAAAAAATGGAATATAAGTTTGCAGATTTCAATATTCAAAATTTAATAAAGCTCATGAGACATTTCAATGACAGATAAATGCTAATAATTACCTTTACCAATAAAACGCTTTATACAATTTGTACGGGCAATTATGTCATCAAGCGAGATGTTGGAAGTATCCAATTCGGGATGATCCTAAAACGAAATCAGTTTAAGCATTAATCAGGAGGTTTAATAAGAATTATAGCGTAACAGAAATATGGGAAAATTATGCTAATATGAATTAATTACTAATATAATAGTACCTCATACTTCAAATGACTAACTTCAAAATATTTGAGTTCAAACAATAAATTCGACAAAAATTTTCTTTGGAGTTTGCACAATGCTTCAAAGTACAAATTAAATGTGCAGTGAAAAAATGCACTCAAAGCATAAAATAAGCTTCTGAACTAAGAATACAATCTCAAATTGGCAGAGGTTACTCTGGAAAATCTTAAAATATTGCCACCATTTCACCAGTTTTAAATTTTTTTTCACCACCAATTTTACTTACTAATTAATGCAGGTGCTGGTAGCCTTATCAGTGTGTCTTCTGGGAAGCAAAAGTAACATTTTAAACTGTCACAAGGAGAGGGTCAAACATTCAGGTCTCCAATGTGAACAAAACTTGGTGAGCACATAGCCTTAAACACAGTTCCTTGTCCAAGTAAGAGGACCCACTTTTCAAGTATGTCCAACATTTTTCATTTGAATCAGAGTGCAGACCATCTGGCCATCCCCTTGTTAGCAATAGGAATCATTTTTGAATAATTTTTTAATGAATAATTCTGAACACATTTGATTACAATGTTTAAACAATATTTCACAAGTTTTGTCGTGTTAAAATTTTTCTTTTACTCTACTGAAAAAAAAATCAAAGTGAAAAAAGTCATCCCAAAAAATGACCCAAAATTTCTGTCAGTTGATAAAAAAATCCAATCTGAAAACACTGGGTGGCATTGCACAAAACTGCCTTCTGTTCTCAATGTCACTTCCTACTTTCCTTCCTGAACTTGCCACGTGACGTCATGAAATTGCTAGTTGTAGGGTACACGAGAACCCATTGTATGGAAGCTCAACATTTTGTTGTTTTTCCCGAAGTATGATTTGTGATTTGATTTCACACTGATGCCAAAACAAGTGGACTATGATTTTATTGCCATTATTATATTTTTATCACCACTTTAATAAAAATATCAGCAAGCAGGATTTTCCCGCTATGAAGAGCAACCCTCGAATTAGCAATAACGTGTTAAATTTCACAACTGTTATAATTATCATACATTTATGTTAAGTAACAAAACCTGGTAAAAAAGATACAAGAACTTTCTTTTCAACTCAATATCACCATTACTTATTAATCATGGCATCCAAAAAGTGTGTAAAAGCAAGGAAATATAACAAGTAAGAGGAGGGCTGTAATAATGACAATTGAAATGAAAAAGGAACTTGTCACAAAACATAAAAGCAGTACACATGGGACGGATCTGGCAGCCATGTTTAAGATGCCGAAGTCAATTGTGTGTGAACAGTAAATGCAAATTTCATTTCAATATATGGTATTTACATATTTTATCTATTTTATTTGTGTTTTAATTTATTATTAGTGCATTTAATTGCATTATTTTCACCTTAAATTATGTGTATTTGATGTTTTATGTTTAACAAAATGAATATTGTTTAGGGTCTGGGAACTAATTAATTCTTTTCCCATTATTTTTAATGGAAAAATAAATTAAGATATTTTAACTATTGTTAAATTCAATAAAAATGAGATTTTAAAATTCTACACATCTACTGACTATGGTATAAACCTATGCTTGTTACTTTTTATTATGTACCAGTATATATAATACTTAAAGTTTGATATAAAAAAATTCTTTTATTACAATTGCAAAAACTATTCACTATATTTTGAATATTACATATATAAATAAACTATGCTTTGTAGCTCTATGAATGGTATTTCTATTGTTTAATTATTTATGAAATAGCCAGATAGCCATAAACAAATTAATAATTCTATTTATGAACAGAAAAAGTTTTTAACTTATCTATAGAAGAAAATTATACAAAAACTATTAATATAGTAGTTTAAATTACAAAGATTACAAAGAACTTATAAGTTAATGATAATCATAAATTGACATATAATGCAATATTTGATTGAAATGTACTATAAAATGTCAGTGCTAAACTATATATAATACTATTATTAAACTGCAAATTAGATACATCCTTTGTCAGAAAAGTTCCAGGACAAAACTTGTAAAAAATAGAAAATTACAATTACCAAGTAATGATCCTAGCTCCTGGCAAAGTAGTTCTCTCAGCTATCTATACACAATCGCCAACATTTCTTGCGATATTATGACGAAACGTCCCTTTCAGTTGCAACCCTTTGTCAGAAAAGTGTGATTTTTCTTGTTTCTGCAAGTGAAAAAGCTACTGACATTTCATCAAGATATTGCAGACATCCAATGGACTGTGACAAATGAGCTAATAAGCATCACACTTGAAGCTTTCTCTGCTTGCCTCCAAGACCTCCAGAAACATTGGCAATTGTGTATAAGTAGCTGAGGGGACTATTTTGCCAGGAGCTAGGATCATTACTTGGTAATTGCAATTTTCTATTTTTAACAAATTTTATCCTGGAACTTTTCTGACAAGTGGTGTATTTGATTCAATAGTTATAATTACTTTTGCTCCAGAATATTTAGATTTATTATCACTTACACTTGAATGAAACTGTTATTGATTGCATAACTCAGTAAAAACAGTAAGATTTTATGGAAGCATGCATATCTCACAGAAAACATTCTTGAAATCTAATTTTTTCCACAAAACAATATAATAATTTAAAAGAAAACATTACCTCTTTTTCTTCTCTCCTACGTTTATGCCTCAGTAGCATTTCTCTATATCTTTCTTCTGTCATCTCAAACATAGCCAAAGAATGATTTAGAGGTTTATTAGGTCCTATAAAAAATAATATTCCTTAAAAGCTTATTTCACTTATTTACATACAATCAAAATTATATACTAATTTTTAATTATCATTGCATTGTTATGCATTGTTAGTATTTATTTTCCTGCTTTATATAATCATTTTTATTAAAACAACAAAAAGAAATTAATTATGCTAAATCAGTTTACCATTTTTTTTCCAATATTCAACATGTTTCTTATACTTCAATTATTTAAATTTTCCAATTTATATTTGTGTTAAATGTGTGAGATCTAGAATTAAGGGGGGAGTCAATTTTAAAGAAATTAGAGAAAAAAAAAAAGATCAATTTAAGTTTTAAATAGAAATTTAAAAACTTTAATGAATTTATTTGAAAAACAGATGTCAAGTACTTTCGTTATAGAGAGGAAGTTGATTTCCTTTCCTTCGGCCGACTCATGAGATGAGTCAAAAATGCAGCCTTTGCACACGTTACTGGGCCTTCTGAGGAGGCCGATATAAAAGAGATTTTTCCTGTCATTCAGGGCAGTTCATCAGAGGTTCAACAAGACCTGAATTCGTCATACAAATTATGGAAGTTCATCGGAAGCAGTACTGACCATACAATTGATAGCAGTGCACCATACAAATGAGTGCTGTTTCTACCTAACAGAATTAACCATACGAAGTGCTATACATCCATAGAAGACCCTCCTCTCATACATGAAAATATTGGAAAGAGAAAAGAATTATTTAAGGTAGTATAACCTGTAGAAATATTGTAAACTCTCTCTGTGAGATACGTAGAAATAAGGTAGAGATAAGGTAGATAGTTCGACCTATCAGAATAGTTCCATGTAATTGCTTCTTCAGAGAAATTGTATTTGGTTTGACCATTTATCTATATTTATCCATTTATTCATTATATTAAATGTTATTGTTTGATTTATAATACAATCTCCTTAATGAGTGAATTTTACGCCTCTGTAATCCCTATGTACATTCGATATTACTATTTTACATGTGATAGCATGCGACATTGACTATCTGGTGTCGGGAGCCTGACAAGGAAATAAGATCTTGCGATCGTAAGTCTCTGCCCTCTTTTCCTCACTCCAACCATAAGTCTCTCCAACACTCAGAGTAATAGCCATCTTTGTAGACAACCGAGAACTGATCCAACAATCAGTAACCGAATAAGTGGTGTCAAATCACAGTATTCTATACCCCCGGTTGACTCACAAATGTAATTACATTATTTATTGGATAAAAATGTTTATTTTTCTGCAGCTTATTTATGTCTTTGGCATATAAGAATTTTTGTCTTCTTACCACCATCATGAAACCCTGGAGCAGGAGTTACAGTAGATACAACTCTATGCATATCGGGACTTAAAGATGCTTCGAGACTCTGAACTTGTTTCTTCAATTTGCGTGTCAGTTTTGGAGGGCTACCTTCTAAATAAATAAATGAAAAAAGGTAATATATAAAAATAAATTATTCAAAATTACTCTTACAAAATTTTAAAATTTTTTGTGCATTTATACAATTATTCTTGCTAAAATTTCTTATTTCCATATATTTAAATTTCAAATTAAATAAATCTCACAGTAATTAAGATATATTCATTGTCAAATTTTATCATGTATTAATGTATTAATTAAAAAACAAAAAATAAATAATAATAACTCTCCCGTGGTCACGACCTGGTCATAGTGGGAGAGACCAGTAATTTTACTGATCCATAAGGCAATGCAATGCAGGCTGGAGCACAAGCTCCTAGTAGGGACACCCATGCCAGTAAGGTCTATGAAGAGAAATGAAGCTGAGTGACCACACCTACATTCTGTAAAATTTTTAATCATGGTAGTAACCAGATCTAACAAGGGGACCTTGTGGTCTCGGAAATTCAGTTTGGGATGAGACTTTGCATGTTAGTGGTATATCTCAAGGGTGTCCACCCAGAAGAATTGTAAAGCGCACTAGCCATAAGATTCTGAGAAAAAGAGGCTCTAAAGTTTTAAGTGCAGCTCATATACTGATTGATTTTACACTATGGCAGCACAGCAAAATGGCTGAGTCTGTAGCAAACTCGCTTGCCACATGGGCAATCTAGGTTCGATCCTACCTTTGGCAAAACTTTTTTTTTCTTTTTTTTTAATTGTTTTAAAAATTGTAACAACTTTTAAATAAAGTTAATGACCTAAAAATAGTGACGTAACGAATATTTGGTTACTATTCGGTATTCGGCCAAATACAGAATATTTACTCACTATTCAGCTGAATACCGAATACCTAAAATCCGGAGTAAGAAATAACAAAAACACAGTAAATTAATCATTTTGGTATTTAGATTTAATGTTATTGGGTTAGTGTTATTTGTTTATATTTATTTATAACTTATAAAACATGCACATGCACAAAATAAAAAAGAACATAATATTAGTCACATGTATTCACAATTTATAATTACAATGGTCAGCACATGTACACACCTATTCGTTCGAGAATCGTCGCACATCTGAGAGTCCGACCCTGCCTATCCTTCTTTTTAAGTGATCGTCTTTCCTCTTCCCTTTCTCTTTCCTCTATCGCTCTAGTCCACATACGTGCATCATCATAATACGCGCTCACGATACTTTCGATTCGTCACTTTTCCATCGTAGATTTCCCATTTTACAATTACGTGACTCATAGCCTGGTGATAATGGAGAAAAGAGACAGATAGGACATCGGTATAAGTCACAGTTACAATTTCACAGATTCGAGACAGATTGGTAGCCCGAACGGCCCAGGCTTTCGCCCGTGCACGCTAAGTGATTTTCATTACAAGCATTTAGCTTTCTGAAGTCTATGAGAACAATTATTTGGCATTGACGGCCGCGAATTTCGCACCAATAAGCTGCCTCGACTTGTTCGATTATATCCTGGATTATATTATCAACTCAATTTCATGTTAATTTTCACATTTTTGCGGTCCTTCTCTGTGTTTTTTTTTTTTTTGTTATTTACACATGTAGGTCATTTCATTGTTATCCACATTTGATATCATCATTTATCACATACTGCCATGACGCTCTTGTCTGTTTGCTACAACTGACAAGAATTAACGCGATTGGCAAAGCATAGTGACAGCAGGCCAATAGAAAGCAGGGTCCTTGCCATAATGCAGTTTGCGTGCCAATTTTCGTAGTGTGTTAATGAAGCCGAATAGTTTGGCCGAATATTCAGCTATTCAGCCAAGCTCCTGGCCGAATATTTGGTATTCGGCCTGAGATGGTATATACTATTCGTTACAATCTTTAGGTAGTGACCTAAAAATATTATCAATTAAATCATAAATAATTTTATTTTATTTATTAAATGACTCTTACAGCTAATTAAAATGTGAATTAAAGATAATATTTTATTTTTAAAAAGTTGAATAATTTCAAATGCATTTTTAATGGAGGTAAATTAAAACTTTAATTACTATTGTCATTAAAAAGTTATTACACATTTTAAGATATTATAAGCTGTGGAAAGGTTAAAAATATTTGTTTTAAATTTGAAGAATTTTTCAATTCCTTGTTATCTTCAACTGATGAACTTAAGATGATAGGTCAGAAAGTTATGTGAAAGCGTCACTTTTGCTGCTGACTTGAGAAAACTCACTGAATGATTAGCTCCCAGGTGTGAAAGTTGTCAGTTATCCGACAAAATGATATTGTTAGGAAGTTAGGTTATGATTTAACTTGTAAGTAAGTAAACAGATTACGTAGTGCGTCTCACACGATATATACAGGTTTACTACCCTTATTCCTCTAGAAACTCACAAGTCAAACTAATGTGCCGGTTCATTCTTGACTTTCGCAAGATTGGAGCATTCTGTACTGCAAAATATTATCAAAATTTTTAAATATTGTGAATTGAAAATGTCTATTAATGAAGAAATTGACAGTATCAGAAGCTGCAGATGAAATCAGTCAAGATTCATTATACAGTGAAATGTCGAAGTTCAGGTTAAAAGATGCAGTCATTTATTACAAAAGCTTGCTTGCTGAAAATAATTTGATTACATCGGAATCTTCAACTTCAATTTCTCATGAAGGAATGTTGATGGGTGAAGAAATTTACGAACATACTATGGAAATATTGCAAAAAAAAGAATGTATCCAGTTAAAAAAGAAGGGACTATTTATCCCAATGGGAAGAAGAAATAAAAAAATTGAGGAAATCAATTTGATAAGTATGTAACAATCAATTCCTGGATACGTGATCATTTTGTTGAAACCCAAGAGAATTATCAACAAGTGACTACTCGAAATTTACAACAGTGGGTTTTTGTTTTCAATGTTTTTACGATAATTATCATTCTGGTGCTTGTATGTAAAATAAAAAATTGACAAATAAAGACAATATTGTAAAAATTTTTTATATAAATAAAATTATTTATATATATTTTATATTACTGAATATAATTTATATTAAAAATATATAAATAAAATAATAACATATATATTAAATAAAACCCTACCTGAAAATTTGTTAAAGTGGTAATTAAAGTTTTTAATTTACCTCCATTAAAAATGCATTTGAAATTATTCAACTTTTTAAAAATAAAATATTATTTTTAATTCACATTTTAATTAGTTGTAACAGTCATTTCATAAATAAAATAAAATTATTTATGATTTAATTGATAATATTTTTAGGTCATTAACTTTATTTAAAAGTTGTTGCAATTTTTAAAACAATTAAAAAGAAAAAAAAAAGTTTGCCGAAGGTAGGATCGAACCTAGATCGTCCGCATGGCAAGCGAGTTTACTACAGACTCAGCCATTTCGCTGTGCTGCCATAGTGTAATATTGATCAGTATATGAGCTGTGCTTAAAACTTTAGAGCCTTTTTTTGTTGGAATCTTATGGATAGTGCGCTTCACAATTCTTCTGGATGGATACCCTTGAGGTATACTAACCTGAAAGTCTCATCCCGAACTGAATTTCTGAGACCGTAAGGTCCCCCTGTAAGTATGATACCAGCTCGGATGTCACCTGGGTTAACAAGGTCCACATTCATGGATTAGGCAATGGCTCATGTTCAAAAAATAAGCCACATTTTCCCTTGGTTACTGGTGGCAAAAGCAGTGTCGGCCCAAGCATGGCTACTGCAATGCCCTCAACAGATGTGAGGAATCAACCTAGCCTTGGTATTTCTGTGGCAATGCATTCACAGACCAGAAAGGATGGAAAACCACATCAACGGATGAAATGGACAATAGAAATGAACGAGCTTATCATCTGTACTTACTACACCATCACAAAACTTAAAACAAACATGACAGCGTATAGACAACAACTACACCATAGATTAACACAACAATATCCTCACCTCACTGTCACTGAACAAAGGATTGTCAATCAAAAAAGAACAATTATACACAACAACCTTATCCCACAACCAACACTTGAACCTATTAAACAACAGGTTGCTGATCAAATACATCAACAGACAGAAACATTTAATATTATTAATGAAGATCACGTAACCTGTCAGGATAATCCAGCAACAAACATTGATAATAGCACATGTACAACTACCACTAATGATACTACAGGCACTTCCCCATCCACCACTGATAACAGATATAGATTTAGTTAATACACTCTCACTTATATTTTAGGAAGCACTCACTAAATATACAGATACAGATTCTACACAGACCACGAATACCGAAAATCAACATGTCAAAGGTAGTAGGAAAAACACTAAATTATGTAAACACTCACTTACTACCACATTATATCCATTTAATTTCTACACTGTCAGACATTCATACATTAGTTTATGCTGGGGCAGTCATAGTAGTGACACACCATGGACTGAAAATACATTTGCAAACAGATTCACACAAAACACAATTCTATCACAAGCCTGCCTGGGCAGAGAAGAATAGAAACACAAATAAATGACATTAGACAAAAATTAGGCAGGCTTGCACAATATACTATAAACAACATAACACACAAATTAAAGAAACAACTCAAAAACATTTTCAAAAAAAATCAAAGCACACACAAAACATGAATATCACAACATACACATTACAAAATACATTGATACACTAAAATAAAATAAACTTTTACAGACAAATTAGTACCAAAACAAACATTGATACACAGAACAGTGGCACATCAACAGAAGAAGAATTCACAACTTATTGGTCTTCTCTTTGGTCCAATGCTGTTACACACAATGCTGATGCAGGCTGGATCGAGGAGGAGAACAGAAACTTGCACAACATACCAACTATGCCCTGTGTTGAAATAAACGTATACGACATCCACTATGCTGTTAACAGAACACACAACTGGAAGACACCTGGTGTAGACAACATTCACAATTTCTGGTACAAAAAGTTTACATCACTGCACCAGGAACTAGCTAAACATCTAACACACATCATCATCAATCCACAAGACATGCCAAAATTTCTTACTCAGGGCATCACCTACATGAAACCTAAAAACAACACCACCACAGACCCCACACAATACAGACCAATTACATGTCTTCCAACACTACAAATTATTGACATCCTGTATCACAAACAAAATATACAAACATGTTGAAGAACACGACATTCTTACAAAACAACAAAAAGGTTGTCATAGAAATCACAGGGGATGCAAAGAACAGTTACTCATAGGTTCAGTCATTCTGCAGCAAGCAAACGAACAACACAGAAACATACACATGGCATATATAGACTACAGGAAAGCATTCGACGGGATTCCACACAGTTGGCTGCTACACATTTTACACATGTACAAAATTCATCCATCACTCATTGCATTCTTCGAAAACACTATGCAGCACTGGAGAACAACACTACATCTCAGGGTTAGTAACACTTCCTTAAAAACAAGTGAAATATTCATTAGGCGAGGAATTTTTCAAGGAGATTCCTTGAGTCCTCTCTGGTTCTGCCTAGCCCTGAACCCATTATCCAACATGTTAAACAACATGCAATATGGCTACAATATCAGACATGAAAAAACACAACACAGTTTACACTGTCACATCTTATGTACATGGACGACATAAAACTTTATGCATCCACACAGAAACAACTTCAGCAGCTCCTACAAATCACACATTCATACACCAAGGACATACAAATGAGTTTGGCCTAGACAAATGCAAAAAACTTCACATAGAAAAAGGAATGCTGAAGAAAGAAGATTTTGCACTTGAAAATGGAGACGTTATTGAATCCACGGAAAATGGCGAGTTCTACAAGTATTTAGGATTCCAACAGGCCAAACTAACAGAACATACACAAATAAAGCAAAGATTAATTAAAAAATACCAAAGTAGGTTGAATGCTATCCTCAGAACACAGTTAAAGCAATAAACACATATGTCATCCCAGTACTCACATACTCTTTTGAAGTTATACATTGGACTCACACAGATCTTGAGCAACTCCAAAGGAAAACAAGAACAACACTTACTAAGCATAAACAACATCATCCTAAATCCGCCACAGAAAGATTAACCCTTCCACGTAAAGAAGGCGGACGTGGCCTGATTGACATAGTTAACCTTCACTACAAACAAATACAGTCACTGCGAGAGTTTTTCTACAAGAAACAAGAAACATCACAGTTACATAAAGCAGTAACTCTAGCAGACTCAAATAACACACCATTAAACTTACACTCACAACATACAGACATGACACAACATATAAAAAGCATAGACAACATTAAGCAATCATGGGCTCAAAAGGCTCTCCATGGCAGGCATCCTTACGACCTGGCCCAGGATTTTGTTGACAAAACTGCGTCAAACAGCTGGTTAGATCGGGGATGCCTCTTTGGGGAGACGGAAGGATTCATGATTGCCATACAGGATCAGGTCATAAATACTAAAAACTACAGAAAACACATACTCAAAGATACAACACTCACAAATGACACATGCAGAAAATGTCACATCATGCCAGAAACTATACAACACATCACTTCTGGTTGCAAGCTCTTGGCACAGACAGATTACTTACATAGACACAATCAAGTAGCAAATATAATACACCAAGAGCTTGCAAAGAAACACAAATTGGCAGACATCCACGAACCATACTACAAGTATATTCCACAGACAGTATTGGAAAACAACATGCACAAAATGTACTACGACAGAGCCATAATCACAGATAAAACAATTTACCACAACAGATCAGACATCACACTCATTGACAAACACAATAAAATCACATACATTATAGACATAGCCATTCCAAACACTCACAATGTACAAAACACATGCATTGAAAAAATTAGCACGTACACAGAACTCGCCCGAGAAATAAAGCATCTGTGGAGGATGGAAAGGGTGCTTATTGTACTTGTCGTTCTCTCCTGTACAGGTGTGATACCACACATACTACACAAAAGCCTGGGAACATTACAATTGAATAGAAATACATACATCACACTACAAAAGGCCACAATATTGAATACATGCCTATTGTTAGGAAATTGCTGAATACAGACACTGACACACTTATTTAATTTTAGTTTTGTTTTGGTTGCTATGCCTTGACTCTGGTCCAGCATAGTACACAGCCACCAGTATCAACCGAGTATAATCAACTAAATACTGTATAATAATAATAATAAACTGACATTCAAATAACATATTTCATTAAAGAAAATTCTCATAGATTTTATGTATAATGAAAGACAAAATTGGAGAGAATGAAAAAATTAGTCTTTATGATACTAGTTTGCAAATGCACTAAAATATTAAGAAATATGAAATTTAAGATTTCCTAATGCTAATGGAATGAATTTCCATCATACCAATTAAATTATATCATTAAGCAAAATAATTTATTGTATACATCTTCCTAAAACTAAATTATAGAGTACAGAAATTTGATTATAAACTTTTCCAAAAAGGTGTATGTAGGAATTACCTTATAGAAAAGCACCACTATAATCAATAAGTTTCTTTCACATTTTATATTTTTTACATAGAACAGGATGTAAAAGTTCTACTATGAAAATTTTTCATCTACAGAAAGAATTTAAGCATGTTATTGAACTTAGTTGCCAAAAACAAATGAAATTGTCACCTGTCAAAGAATATTGCTTTAATTTTTAATTTTTAAATTTAATATTAAAATTTATATTCAGACATACAAGTGTTTCTACTAATATTATATTAATATTTCACTAAAATAATAATTTGCTGTTGCCTCCTTTATTGGATCTATCTGCTATGATTGTAAGACTTAATTGTAATTATTTAAGCTACTATTGTTCATTGACTTGTGGTTCTTTCAATTAATATGCAACAGAGATTTGCTTTATTATTACTAAATTCTGCTGAATCTGTCATCCTTTCAAACTTATTACTGAACTTACTTTAGTGAAAACAGTTAACTTTGTTTAAATAATTTGACTATCTGAATTTTTCCAATTTCTTTGTTATAAAAATAATTCAAAATTACTCATATTTATTAAAATGGCAGCCATAATATTTTTTAATCATAAATTTAAAATAATATAATAAATAAAAAATAATTTAAATTACCAGGATAATTTTCATCTTCAGATGAAGTGTCTAATTCTCCACATTCCTCTCTGACTTCCTGAAGCTGACTGAAATATCTCCATTTAGTTCTTTCTTGAATAGATTTATTTCGCAATTTAGGTGCAAAATTTTCTATTTTAATATTATTGTCAGGGGAAAGCATCGAAGCAGCATCTAATAATTTCTGTAATAGTTTTGTAAGATTAATTTGAATGCCACGTTTTATCTTAACCTTATGTTTTATTTTTATTAATAAAGAGATTTTAATGAAGTTAATGTAATTAATTCTTTTCCATATTTTAATATACAGTGATCAAACAAAAGAACTCATAAGGAGTTTGATGATATTGTGAGTAAAACTTGGTAACTCTCAGCATCACACAATCTTATTTGTTGCATAGATAGCTCATGGAATAACAAAGTCTGACACACATCACCACCAAATTCCTTATACTACTACTTGCAAATTCTATTCTCATTTGATCACCCAGTATAAAATGACAAGAAAAAATAAAATTTAATATTAATTTCTTAATTTCATAGTGCTTGTACAAAAAATAATTTAATTAACTTAGTCCATATTAAATTGATCCACTCCATCATAACTTCATACATTAAGACACAACAAATAAAATATCATTCTATCCATAAATAAAACAGATAATTATATTATATGGAATTTTTTAATAGCATTTACTATATTATATTTATTCTGGGATATTATGTATATATGTAAAATTAACCTTTCTTGAAATTAAAACATTTTCAAGTAATCTGTAATAATAATGCTGCTGTTGATATCTGTATTCTCGATACTGAGCCTTCTTCAATAAAGAGGCAACTTTTGATACATCTGGAGCTAAGTAACCATCTGCCAATATATAAATTCATTAAATCAAAAGAAGTAAAATTAGAAAATAAATAAGCTTAACATTTATTTATATTTTTATTAATAATTTTAAGCTGCAAAATCAGATTACTGCATTTTGCTTTTTATTCAAAATTAAAACTTTTAGTTATTTAAAAAGTCCTGAAAATTAAAGCTTACCCTTTAATTTTTTGTAAAACTGAAATAAAGGATTTCCAAATTTAAAATTCTGGCCAGCAAACAATTGTCTATAATGAAAACTTTGTATTATTCCAATTTTCCCAATCTAATATTTTATAAACTTAAAAAAAATTTAAATTTGAACAATTAGTTATAACTAAATACAGGTAACCTTCATACAACACAGCACTTCTACAACACAGTTTCACTCTAACATGGTTCAAAAACTGGGGAAATCCTCCATACAAAATTTCCCAACTTTTAAATGCAAACTCTTTTATTCGATATTTTTTTTATTCAAGTAAGCATACATTTGTCTGAAATTTTCCCACGGATTTTGGAATATTGAAATTTACAATTTGTTTTATGCCTTTTGTCAGGTTTAACCTTTTTTTTAACTGTAGGAAAATAATCATTCATAAAAATGACAAACAAAATACAGTGGTACCATGGTCTCAAACAATTTGGTATTCGAACACATATTCTGGAAAATAAATCACTTGGTCCTTGATTGAACAAAGGCGACATGCCAGAACAAATTTTTGGTTAAGAACATTTTTATTTTGTCATGCATAAAAATTTTTATGGTAAAAATTTAAAAAATGAAGACGCTGCTGGTATTTCTGATCAATATCAACAAAAGCTCAGAAGATGGCAATACTTAGTAAAAAGAAAACTCCCTCATTTAACTAAAATTAATATTAATGCATGATACAGTACTTTTAATTGTGATTGTTAGTTAATTATTAATTGGAAATTATTGATTGCTTTAGTTAACAAAGATATTTCTTAGTGATAAAAAAAAATAGTATACTTTTGCTAACATTTGGAACTTAACCTTATGTTTTCCATTAGTCCTTTGTTTTGTATAGCATGGATTCGAATAACACAGAATTTTTTCAGAACATAACTATCATGTTATATGAGGAATACCTGTATCATTAAACTTTGTTTTGTTCTAGAAATAAAATTATCTAAATATTAATTAATTTTACAACAACCAGCGAAAATTAATCTCACTATAATTTTCAGCAACATATTAAAATATCTCAAAACAGTTATTTCATTCTTTTTGAAAAATATAGAATATTAATGTGAACTTACTTTAAAGTTGTGAGTTTCTCATCTTCATCATTTTCTGGGAAAGATGGCAAAAATTTCTATAAAAAATAAAATTAATTAAGAATATGAATTTGAAAATTACATTAAATATTGCAGCAAATGACACTTAATTTTATTAAAGATTAGAAGAGAAGAAAAGTAAATGTTTGTAAAAGAAATTAAATAATATAGTAGAGCATTGATTATCCGAAATAATCAGGATGGGACAATTTTAGATAACTGGTCATGCTTAGCAGGAAAAAAATAAAAAAAGATAAATACCTTAAATAAAGTAAAAATATTAAATTCTAGTATAAAGATAAAAAAGTTAAGGCATAAAAATTTAATACATACAAATGATAAATAATGAAAAAATTTATCTATATTAAAAACAAGCCCTAGTATTTCGTTGCAATCTATGACATACCAATTAAAATTTGAATTCGGTACTTGTGTAAAAATTATTTGTTACAGTTCTTTTTTTTTAACATTTTACTTTTATTGAGTTTTTCATTTTTAATGCTGCTAATTCTATGGTTTGTTTGATCGTCACAAGAGTTGAAAAATCTGCTTTAGGTTGCATTTCTATGACAATGCTGTTTCTAATGCATCAAATGAATTATTAGAAGCACGTGACTCATTAATCATACTTTTCTATTTGTACTGTATGTAAATAAAACCTAACTCCAGTGTTAATTATTGGGTAGCTCGATAGCGGGCCAATAGGAACATGCCGACAATTATGTAAAAATTTTGTAATTTCTGGAGTTATTACTCTCTTAAGTTCATTTTGGTTTGTCAATTTTTCAGATAATCAATGCATTACCATATTAAAAATTTAAGTTATAACAAATTTAATAATAAATAATCATAAATTTTGTAATCAATTTTTATCATTAAAGACAATACACTGAGTAAAAAGTATTTTGTTAATTAAGTTTCAGCAGCTGATTAAGATTTTGGCAAGGATGCCAAAAACTTAATTTAGGATTTGATAAATTAAGTTGCAAATTTATTTTCTTAAATAGCCAAAAGTAGAAACTTCATTTTGCACTTATTTTATTTAAGATCCTTATGATAAATTTAGTATTTATTATTTTCAAAAATGTAACAAAATATTATATAGACTTACCATTAATTTTGATTTTTGAGCACTGGTTAGAATATTTTGCCAAGTGTCCATATTAATAACATCTTTGAAGATTTCTTCCTAAATAATAAAAACAAAAAAAGCATTTAGTTGAAAAACATGAATACAAAAACTAATATTAATATTTTATTAGAATAAATTTGTGAACAATTAGATTACTATTGTATAATTCAATAACAACATGCAACGATGCAATTATTCCAAACCAGTGTTAACCATTCTTAAAATAATCATAAAATACAGGGTCTCTGAAAAGTTATTGTGCAGTGAGAAATCTGTAAGGATATCAAAGTTATACATACAGCATTTCATACAAGACTTATAAACTGTATGTCCCATCTTCCCCATGTTGTGGTAGATGGCATTATTGTTTGCTCATAGATGTTCCAATTTTTGGAAGACTTCTTTGATGATTGCATAATCTCCCATGGAATCTGGTCCACTAGATCTCCAGACCACACTCCCCACATTTTAGGCCTCCAGGGGACATTTCCAGCATTTGATGTAGGAGAAACTGCAATATCATATATAAAACTTCACTTTTATTTAAAACTTTACTTAAACTTTCTCCACTGCACAGCAACTTTTTGGACACCCCATATCTCTTGATTAACTGACTTTTTTGATAGCCTGCATATTTCAATTAATGTTTTTTATTTCTATAAAATTACAAAATAAAATTTTATCAACCTTTTCTGCAGAATAGAACTGTAATGAAAATTAATACAAACAAGACATAATAAATTTTTTATTTAAAAAAATCCTTATGCTTGTTCTTTAAGATTACCAGGACCATGCTGTGCTATGATGCAGAGAGACGGCCGCATCAGGCAACATCGTAAGGATCAGTATAGGCAGAGAAATCAAAATATTTGAACCATTCAATAATTAAGTTTTACAATGCTTTTCTGTATTGGTCTATGTTATTCTGATATTGATGTATACAATTTATGATTTATTGCACACCTCTGCCTAAATGCTTTTGATACCCTTTGATTTTGGTTTATGGTGCAGGTGCATTGTTAGCAAGCGTTTGCTAAAAGGCTTTTGACATGACAGTGCAAAGCTATTATTTTTGTTTGTACTATACCGCACGACCGCTCCTAAAAGCTGAGGCGGCAATTATCATAAAAGACAATTGCACGTGTAATGTGTTGATAGTTCTGCTTTGAGCTTAAATTATTGACAATATTTGATTTTAACATCAGTTTGTCTCGAGAAGTAGCAATTGGCTGTGCTGTGTTTAAATCAGTAAATCAGATATATATCTGTATCAGTATAATATTTTTGCATTTACACTAGTTCAGTTTTTGTGTTTAAAAAGTAGATCTGTTAAGAGAATTATTGTTTTTTACAGCAATTGTAGTTACTTATTATCATTGAAAAATTTATGTTGTGACAATAGGGACTCGAATTAAAAAGGAGCATTTGCATGGACTGGGTATATATCAGGTGTGGAATGTGCGCCTGTGAATGATAGAGTTATTTAGGTAATATTGGACTACTTTTATGTTCTGTGTGTGAGTTGCTTAGAAAATATTTATATATTTATTTAGGAAATATAGAGAAAGTTGCTTAGGAAATCTTTGCATTTGCCTACTTTTGCGTTCATTATTTTTTGCTCTATTTTTACTAAATTCATATACATTGAAGTGCAGACAACACAATGACAAGTTAAAGAAAGGCATACGAGGGCTGTTCGGAAAGTTCGCGGCCTTGCCTATATGCGGCGCTGCGATCAATTTAATTTTTGGCGGGAATAATTCAGCCATCTTTGCTAAAGATACGATACCAATTTCCGCTTGATTTGTCAAAAAGTTTTGCCACGACAGCTTAGCAGATAGTCAGTGTGCACATGCTTTGTCAAAAATGGAGAAGACGGAGACTCGTGCGGTCATAAAATACCTGACGAAAAAAGGGTTGACCCCATCTCAAATCAAAGCTGACATGGATGAAGTTTTAGGAGAGTCTGCTCCTTCGTACACCACTGTGAAAAAATGGACAGCCCTTTTTAAATCTGGCAGAGAAAGTGTGGAAGATGACCCTCGCAGCGGACGGCCGTCAACTGCTGTCACTGAAGAAAACATCGACAAAGTTCACGATTTGGTATTAGCAGATCGCCGTTTGAAAACGCGTGAGATAGCTGAGACAACAGGCATCTCTGTCGACCGAGTGCACCACATCCTAACCGAAGATTTGGGTATGACGAAGGTCTCAGCAAGGTGGGTGCCGCATCTGCTGACCGCCGAGCAAAAACGTGTTCGCACTTTGATGTCAAAGGAGTGTTTGGACTTCTACCAGAAAAACCCACAGGATTTCTTGCGTCGGTTTGTGACTACTGACGAAACGTGGATCCATTACTACACTCCTGAAACAAAAGAACAGTCGAAGCAATGGAAACACCACAGTTCGCCACCACCAAAGAAGGCAAAGACAGTTCCATCAGCGGGTAAAGTGATGGCCTCGGTTTTTTGGGATGCTAAAGGCATCATCTTTATTGACTACCTAGAAAGAGGAAAGACCATTAATGCTGTCTATTACTGTGAACTTTTGGAAAAACTGAAGAAAGAAATCGAAGAAAAGAGGCCACACTTGAAGAAGAAAAAAGTTCTGTTCCACCACGATAATGCACCTGCACATTCCGCCAGAATCACTGAACAAAAGATAAACGAACTTCGCTTCCAATTAGTTCCACATCCACCGTACTCACCTGATTTGGCCCCCAGTGACTTCCACCTTTTTCCAAACCTAAAAAAATTCTTGGCTGGAAAAAGATTCCACTCAAATGACGAAGTCATCTCTGAACTGAACGAGTATTTTGCACACCTTGACAAATCGACCTATTGTGATGGCATAAAAAAGCTAGAACATCGCTGGAATAAGTGCATTGCTAACAGAGGAGATTACATTGAAAAATAAAAAAAGTTTTAACATTATTTTGTTTGTTTTTCTATGTGAGGCTGCGAACTTTCCGAACAGCCCTCGTATGTCAAAACCACTGCAAGCTGTCAAATTGACTGATGTTTGTTATCTATTTACTAGCAGATGAGCCCAGTGTTGCTCGAGCAAAAAGTAACAATAGTGAAGATTAAAATTATTAGATTATAGCCGATCTTACCCGTTTTCACCAGGTGCAAGAATTAGGTCTCCCTCTTCCAAGATTAATTAGAGAATTTTTATTTATATGGTCTGAAAATATGTTTGATTTTCTGCAAAACGCAAAAAACTGCATCTAAAATAGTACAGTAAAGCCGAGTTCTTTAAGATAATCCTTAACCTCTCCCTCTCCCCCGCGGGATAAAATTTCGAAAAATCCCTTCTTAGTGTATGTTCTCATGACGTACCCTAACTGTGTATCAAATTTCAACTCCTAACCGTTTGGGCTCTGTGCTTAAGCAGAGCCCAAAGAGTTAGGTCTCTAACAGATAAGCCTGCCGTTGCTCAGGCAAAAAGTAACAATAGTGAAGATTAAGATTATTACATTATAGCCAATCTTACCCATTTTCACAGAATGCAAGAATTAGGTCCTCCTGTTTCCAGACTAATTAGAAAATTTTTTGATGGGTCTAAAAATATGTTTGATTTCCCGCAAAAATGCAATCTGTGCCTGTAAATCTTGCATGTTGCTTTCTCTTAACACTTTCATTGTTACTTAATGCTTCCATTGTTAACACTTCCATTGCGGGGGAATTTCGAAAAATCCCTTCTTAGTGTATGTTCTCATGACGTACCCTAACTATGTACCAAATTTCAACCTTCAACTCCTAACTGTTTGGGCTCTGTGCTTATTATTATTATCAACCTACATTGATTATATATATAGATTATATTCTGTTACTTAGAAATCTTACTAGCTTTACAACTCATTTCTATTGTTATTTTAGCTACCCTATTTTAATAGCATGATAAGCAACATCACATTTAATCATTTTCAATGACCCCTCCAGTCTTTGCGAAGGACTGTGAATTTTTATTTAATATTTTTATTACAGTATCGAACAGAAAGGGAAAGAGTCTAGCAGTCAATATAAAAAGAAACGCTTAAAGAAAAGGGAAGAAGGAAAAAAGCTAAGCTATGTTAAAAAGAAATTTTTAGTACAAAAGTCCTGTTTATATGAGCCATCCACATCCACATCAACAGAATCTGCTTTGGACTTGGCAAATGAAAACTCAGTGCTGTCCCAATCACTTCCAGAAAAAATTGTTGAAGAGAGCCAAAAAAATAACAACATCAGTTCATCAAGTACTGAGTAGCAGTAGCAGCCAGCAGATATTAAATGAAATTCCTTCTGATCCTGCATTATGAAATGCTTTATGTATGTCATCTGAAACTTGTCAAATACTGGTGAAGAGGGATCCACATCAAATTAAAGAATTCGAGTTTCTTATTAATAAAGGAAGGTGTAGATTTTCGCCCTCACATTATTTGAAAGTGTTGAGCAATGGTGAAGTTGTTGAGAGAAGTTGGTTTGGTTGATTTGCTCTGTTACAAATGATGCTGTTTTTTCTATTGTTGTATTTTATATGATAATTTGTCTGCTATTAGTGACTGGCTCAAAAAAGACTATTCTGACTGGGGAAATCTTCCAAGAGCCCTCACAATGCACAAAAAGTCTATAAATCACAGAAATGCTTTTAGAGCATGGAAAGAATTGGACATTTGATTAAAACAGAAAAAAACTATTGATGCTAAATATCAAAGAATTATAGATATAGAAATTCAGCATTGGAAAGGAGTTCTAAAGAGAATTATGTCAATAATTTGACTATTGGCCTCACAATGCTCAGCTTTTCGTGGAACAACTGAACATTTGTTTCAGCCTAATAATGGAAACTTCCTAAAGTTGGTAGAATTGCTTTCTGAGTTTGATCCAGTTATATAAGAACATATCAGGAGAGTTCAACGTGAGTCTGATAAATGGTCTGTGAATTATCTAAGCAATAATATACAAGATGAATTGATAAATTTGACAGAAATTGAAATTTTAAGCAAAATTGTCGAAAAAACAAAAATCGCTAAATATTTTTCGATAATCAATGATTGTACCCTAGACATAAGTCATATTGAACAGCTCTCATTACCAGTAAGAGTTGTCGCTTTTAACATCATTGAAAATAAATATGAAATCAAAGAATTCTTCATTGGTTATTTTGAAGCTTGTGATTCAGCTGGAGAGGGTTTGACAGAACTTATTCTGACACATTTGGAAAAGTTAGATTTTGAGTTAAAGTGGCTTAGAGGACAAGGCTATGACAACGGAGCTAATATGAAAGGAGTAAGAAAGGGTGTACAAAATAGAATACTTGATAAATATCCAAGGGCGTTTTATGTGCCCTATGCATGTCATTCTTTAAACCTAGTTGTGAATGATGCAGCGTCATCTTCTACAGAAACAATAACTTTTTTTTCTATTGTACAAGAACTTTACACTTTTTTTCCTGGTTCTACAAAGCATTGAGAAGTGCTAAAAAAATATGTTTCACAATTAACTCTAAAACCATTGAGTGCTACTAGGTGGTCAAGCAGCAATTTCAACTTTGCGAAATCTATGATGCATTATTCCAAATAATATAAGACATCAACAGAGATGCAGAAACTAAAGTCAAAGCAAAAGGGTTAGCAAAAAATATTAAAAATTACAAGTTTATATGCAATATAATTCTTTGACATGATATTTTATTTAAAATAAATTTAGTCTCGAAACTATTGCAATCTGTAACTATAAATTTGTCAGATTGTGTAAGGATGTTATCATACAAAAAGTGAAAAGTTATAGACAATCCGGATATGATCAGATGAAAATTGCTGCTAATGAGATTGCAGAGAATCTTGAATGCCATATAGAATTTCCTGTCAAAACTGAAGTTAGAGCTAGAAGGAAAAAGCATCATTTTGTCTACGAAGAAGCTGTCAATGAACCCTTAACAGAAGAGAGTAAATTTAAAATAAGCTTTTTCAATTATATTCTGGGCATTACTGTTAATTCTCTGAATGAATGATTCACACTTCAGGAAACCTATAGCAAAAAGTTTCAGTTTTTATATGGCATTTTAAAACTCAAGGATTCAGATGAAAAAAACACTAGAAAATTATCGTACCAGTCTCCAGTCAATACTTTCGGTCAAAAATGAATCAGATATAAATGTAAATGATCTTCAAGAAGAATTCCGTGATATATCCCGAATGCTAGCATATTCTATGAAATCATTGAATGTCTTAAATAATTTGTGCCAAAATAACTTAATTACTTTGTATCCGAATACCGTTGTAGCTCTGAGAATTTTATTAACACTCCCTGTCTCTGTAGCTAGTGGGGAAAAAAGTTTTTCCAAATTAAAATTAATAAAACACTACTTAAGAAGTTCAATAAGCCAAACAAAACTTAGAAATCTATCATTAATTTCTATTGAATCTACATTGGCTGCCACTCTAGATTACGATTCCCTAATTAACGAATTTGCTAAAGTTAAAGTTAGAAGAGTAAAACTGTAGTAGATTGTTGTAGTTGATATCAATATTTTATAGTAGTTTATATTTTCAAAATAAAAATAGTATTCATACATTTTGAAAAAAATGACAAAGGTTTTTAAAAAAAAAAAATGACAAAGGTTATTTTAAAGAAAAAAATTTAAGGGGCAGAATTTTGAAAACTTGCATCATACTGGAAAAATCTACCACATGGCCCTGAAGATTACATATGTGTAGTACAAATATGATCAGATTACTTGTATAAGTAACATTTTCTCCCAATATATCTATAATATAAATTTTAATATGTTACCTGTTCACACATATCTTGAGGAATTGAAATAACCTTGTTTCCCAAAAGACATTTTTCCATTACTGAAGATTTATCATCTCTTTCACTCTGCTCTTCCATACTAGAGCTATCTTCTGATGCCAAATCTTCATCCATTATAAAAATCTTTAATGTAAATAATTTTGATAAAATTAGAATCATTAAGTGATTAATTAATCAATACAGTGAAACCTGCTTAACTCAAACTAGGATAACTCAAAGTCATTTACATTCCCAATCATCTAGTATTTACATGTTAAATCAAACTGGTTAACTCAAATGAGTTTTTCATACAGTATTTTCATAAACTCTCCAGAATTTTAATTTTCTGTTAAATAAAATAATTAACGATCATCTATCAAATAAAAATAAACTAATCAGAAACTTTCTATAAAGCAGGGAAACCACATATGACTAAAAATAAACATCGTGTCACATAACAGCAGGCAGAAGGTGATGGGTTCCAGACAGCATGTGTGACACAGATACTGTAATTGCCACTCAAACCTGCTTTTTATTCAAACTTTTATATTTGATTGCTAATGGATTTCTCCAACTAGCCGACATAACAAATAAATGAATTTTTTGATAATTTAAATTTTTAAAAATTATTACAGTTTGATTCTATGTGAAAATTTTAACAATTGCAGCAAAATTTTAAAAATATAACAATCACAAAAAGTGGTATGTTTGTGATAAAACATAAAAAACAAATTGATTCTAGGCTCAAAATATTGCAATTTAAAAATATCCTTACTAAACACTTAGGAATGAATGGTTCAATCATTCGAGAATGCATTTCTCAGTAGCTTATTTAACCATTTGGCTAAGTGTTTTCAAGTTTCTAGACAACACTGAGAAGTTTACATTGACTCAACAATTCTATATAATAAGACCCAGGAAAATATCATATGGATAGCTTATTATGGATTACTAATAAACCCATGCACAAAATTTTGATAAGATGAACCTCCATAACTCAAAACTTTTTAACTCAAAGTCTTAACTTTTTCCCCCAACTGATTCGAGTTAACCAGGTTCCACTGTAGTTATTTATCAATTTTTACACTGTTCCAAGATATAAATCTGAATGATAAAACTCTTTAATAAATTAAAATTTTCTAAACAGAAAATAAATTTTGATTCTACACACTTTAGTTTTATAAATTACCTATTTCAAGGTTTGTTTACAGTCATTACTTAAAATCTAATACCACTTATGAGCATGTTCAACTATGATTTGAAATAACATGACTTTTTTATCTTACAGACACAGTATTTACACTTATAAATAGCAGTTTATCTTATATTTACCTAGTAATCTCTCTTAGTCTTCATTTTATGGACTATCAGTTAGTATGACATACTCTTCCATGTAGTATAGCACCAAAGTCTTACCATATTAAAAAATAATTGATATTATATTCAATTATAAATAAACAAGAACACAATTCATTTTTTTTTCTACTACTTAAACTAACAATTATGTACAGTACATGAAAAGAACACACTTAAAATATCCCAAATTATTCTTTTGCATATTATTTAAGCTTCACCAATTAAAAAAATTAAACCATAGAAAGTTCTTGATACTTGTTTAACGTAAATTATTTTTAAAATAAATTATCTTTCAATTATCTATCTATCTACATATTTTTCATGTGTTGAAAATGGCCAAAATTGGGTTGAAAACATTACAACTGTAGTAAATATAGAGTGATAATAATTAACCCTTACAGGTTTTTTGCATCGTTAATTTATTAAAGAAATGAAAATTAGCAAAACAACACAGTGACAATACTTTACATATTAATCAGATATTCAGTTGGTTTCAAAGTGTCCTCCTTTTGCCTTGATGCAGAGCCCCAAACGCATTTCTAAATTCTCAGCGATGGACCGCAGCTCTTCTGGAGACAGTTTGTCCCACTCCCGGCACAAAAATTTCTTCAGCGACTCCAAACTTTTGTGGTGCTTAGCGCAGGCCCTAGCCTCCAAAAAGAATCACACAACATAGTTCATCGGATTCAGATCAGGTGAGTACAGTGGCCATTCCAGAAACAAGATGAAATCAGGAAAATGAGCCTTGCACCACTTTTGAGTCTTCTTTGCCGTGTGTGCCGGTGCTGAGTCCTGCTGAAACGTCCAAAATGCTGCTGAGCCCATGGAAGTACTACAGCCTTGAGAATGTCATGGCGGTACACGTTTTAATTGATTTTGGCCACTTGATCGATGAAAACAAGGGGTGTTTTGCTGCTTGCACAAATTCCTGCCCCAAATATTGGATTTTGGTGATGTTCGATGATGGCTGATCATCAGGGAGCCTCCGTGGACCAGTTCCTGTCATTTTGATGGTTGTGCGCCTGTTGTGTGCCTGAAAAGCTTCTTGTCTGTGAAAAGAATGCACTCCCATTGTTGACCTGCGGCCCAATGCTTGAGTTGACGGCATCTTTGGAGTCGCATGCACTTGTTTTCATCAGTGAGGAGCTGAACCTTTTGGCACTTGTAGGGCTTGAGTCCGAGTTCCTTTTTCGCCATTAACCGCATCAATTCGCGATTGATTATGATCTCACGAGCAATTTTTCTCATGGAAATCTTCGCATGTCAGTCAACTTGCTTTTTGATGATCTTGCAGTTCCTAGACGTGTTGATGGTGTGCTTTCTTCTACGTCCGGGATGGTCACCATCATGGCCAAGCTCCTTGAATCACTGAACTGCATCTGAGACTGTCATTTTGGGAACACCGAGCAAATGAACAATTTCACATTGATGCTTTCCTTGCCAGAATAGCTCCAAAATTGCACAACGTTTGTTCGACATCCTTAAAAAACTAAAGAACTAACCCTTATTACACCAAAAGCACATCTACATGGGCAGGAAATCACAGAGAATTAAACGACAGTATGTAAATTGGTGATGGTAAAAAAGTTCAGGTGCAACATTGCTACAAACTTTGTATGGGTTAATTATTGTCACCCTGTATATAATCAAGTACATTGATCTATAGTATTTCTGATTCTTTATAATAGATTAAACTTAAATTTTATGACAAATGTTACATAATTTGTGAAGACAATTCAGTAAATTTTATAATTATAACATAGAAAGTTACATACACATACATTTAATACTAAATGTAAAATCATTATACAATGATAGTATCAAATGGTTATATACTAGAAGAATTGAACAACATATGGATATAGAAAACGAATAAAAAAACAATAATAAAGGCAGCAGCCGATGAGTCTCTGGGCACAGTAAAAGTCAATTCCTGTGGAATAAGGAAATTGAAAATATGGAACAATGAAATCAAACAACTAATATTACAAAAAAACACAGCATATAAAAAATTTTTAAGTAGTAAAAAAAATGAAGATGCAATAGAATATAAATGCTGCAAAAAGAGAAATAAGGAAAAGACAACGTCAATCATGGACAAAATTTATTTCACAACTAGAATCAGATCTCTACAAAATAAGACCAAATGCCTTCAAAATATTAAAATTTATGAATCAAAAAATTAAAAAACCCATTAAGATTAATTGTGGTGTGAGAAACAACCAGTTTCTTAATTATTATCAAACACTTTGGTCAGATCCTACATATACTAACAAGATTTTTGAAAGCAACAATCAAAATAGGACTGAATTATCAAAGGAAGAACTGTTTGAAAGTTTAACCAAAACAAAAAATGGAAAAGCATCAGGAAATGATGGCATAAATGGAGAGTTATACAAATATGCTGGTGATAAATTTCACAAGAGATTATTAACATTCTTCAAATTATTGAAGAATGTTATATATGATCAAGCATGTATACCTCTTGAATGGAAAAAAAGTGTTGTACTGCCTATTCATAAAAAAAAAAATAGGGCCTAAACAAAAATTAGCTATAACTACAGAGGCATTAGCCTGCCAAATACCTGTTATAAAATCTATGCTAGAATTCTAAATGAACAATTAAAACAAGAAGGTAAAAAATTTCTTTTGGAATATCAAAACAGATTCCAAAAAGGCAGATCTTGTATAGACTCGGCTTTCTCCATTAAATTACTACTAGAGAAACAAAGATAATTTAATCTGAATACACATTTAGCTTTCATAGATTATACCACAGCTTTTGATATGATAAAAAGACCCACACTTTTTGACATCCTACAAAACAGAAACATACCAAATATTTTACTTTAAAATATATGTAATATTTATGAAAATAATACCATACAATTTAAGTTCAACAATGCCACTTCAGAATATAGAAGAATAAATCAAGGAGTAAGACAAGGATGTCCATTGTCACTAACACTTTTTAACATCTATATAGATGACATAATACAACAATGGCAGGAAGAATATACATTAGGAATTCAACTTCCAAACAACATAAAATTCAATACCATGCTATTTGCTGATGATCAGGTGGTAATTGCTAACTCTGAAGATAATTTACAAAAAGGTTTATTTACCTTAAATAAAATTTCAAAAGAATATGACATGAAAATTTCAACCGTTAAAACCAAAGTAATGGCATTTAGAGGCACAGAGCCAATACATGGCAAAATCGTAATTGATAATACAATTTTAGAACAAGTTTTTAATAATTTTCTTTATCTAGGATGCAATATTTCCTATGAAGTGAGAATGACATAAATAATAAGCTCACAAAATTTTTTAAATATTAGGAATAGTAAATAACATTTTAAAATCACACCCTGTACAAAAACATTCCAGACTAAAATTATATAAAACTCTAGCTCTTCCGACTCTTCTGTACGGAAGTGAAATCTGGGTTCCAAAGAAGAAAGATATCAAAAGAATACAGGCACCTGAAATGAGGTTTATGTGCCGAACTGCTGGATATACACTCCTGGATCGTCGTCAAAATGAGGATATTTTGGAGGAACTCCGCATGCAGCCATTAATTGAAAAACTCTCCACATATAGAGAAAAATGGCTTCAACATGTATCTCAAATGTTGCTGGGTAGGATGATGATGACCTGGATGATGATCAACCACGAGGATGATGATGACCTGAACATCCACAAAAACGACTCCTAGACCCTGTCTAGCTGAGACCAAAATGAGTCAATATGGCCTAAATTCGTAAATGGTGTATGATGATGATGATGATGATGATGATGATGAACCCAAGTTTTAATAGCCAAATAACTAAATGCTGAATTTTACCATGCTAGAGTAAGCTCCCCATACTGGGGTAATGGTTGAGTCAGCCGAGAGCAAAAAAGAGCTATGGATGTTAAGATGCCTTCAGCTGGCATGGTAATTGACTGGTATGGTATAATTCAAACAGATTTTGGAAACAAGAGAGAGTAGTATGGGTAGCATAACTGATAATGAATCTGCATAAAAAGCAGAATTCTCATCCAGATTGCTCTCTTATTTCAAAATTAGAAATTTTTCCACCAAGCCCAAACATTCTTCAATCTCTACTTTCTCATAGAAAGTAGAGATTGAAGAATTGGAAAGCATACAGATTTCAAGGAATTCAAGAAAAGTAGCTAATATTTCTACAAATTAAGTAGCCTATACTGCCCGTCATAGTTAGTAAGAAGCATAGTTAACGCATAATAATACATTTTAAACAACAGGCTCATTAGATTGTTACTTCCGATTGGATAATAGAACATGTGGTCTGTAAGAGAATGTAATAGAACACTGTAATAGAACACTGTAAAAAGTTTTTTAATTGTTGTAGAAGCAACACAATGGCAGCTATCTTTTTTAAAGTTTAAATTTTCAGTTTAATGTTGTAAGTTTAAAATATGCCATTTGCCAAAATATTTAAAAATGCAACTTAAGAGAAATTCCATTGTCAAGCATGAACAAAATGAGGTCACTAATGTCACTGCAACTTGAGTGCAATCAACAATCTGAAATCGATAAAACATTTATTCTATAGCTAATATTTCTGCAGAATAAGTAGTCTATACTTTTCAAAAGTCAGAACATAAAGCGAATATAACCAAAATTTCATCTGGATTGAACAAAAAATGCAGGAATTATAAGGAATTCATACACACACAGCTTTTAAATTTAATAATTTAGAATATTAATAATATAACTGCTTATATTACTACAAAATGGCAGCCTAATCACCAATCTTTAGAACAAATAATTTTGTTTCTTTATTTAAAATCTAGCCCAGTATTGCCAGATGTACGGGAATTCTTATAAACCCAAAATTCAAATGTGTACATACATAAAGGTACAGACAGCACCAGACAAAATATCTTCAAGCTTGGGACTGGAAAAGACTCAGATTTCTGGATTTTCTAGTTTTCTGGACACAAGCTAAATATATACTTAAANATAAAATAAATTTTTTTAAAAATATTTACAGTATTTTTTATTATTATTTAAAACTTTATCCT